ATTAAAAGTAGGTCCTAGTATTTCCGAGTCTGAATATCGTACACGTTTTGCTCACAGATGACAAGATAGAGTAATTTATGCCAGAACGAACTGTGAAAACTGTAGGTTGCTAACTCTTACAGTTTAGACGCTATATCTAGCCTCATTTAGAGAGCTGAATGTAAGCCTTGTCGTTAAACTATAGTAATAAAAAAATTTAGGACTTTCCGAGATTGCAATACACATCTCCAAAATGGCCCAATCAATATTTTAGTGATAATATATAATGATTTATGTATCTGTAATGATATTTAGGTATTCTTTTGTTGTGGAAAAGAGGTTTTATTATCTTTTTCCGTGTTGGTGATTATAATACCCAAACAAAACTACAAATGATTATATAGAGAAAATAAATAGAACGTGACGACTTAATATGTGTTCGAATAAATAGATTGACCTAATTTGAATTTAATTTTGGGCCTTGTAATATGGCCTCCAATTTTAATTATTCTTTCACCTACACGAACTTTTTAAAATCTAAGAAAAATAGGACCTTGTTAATTATTATACATTGCAGAAACTCTTCGGATAATAAGTTACGGATTAGAATATTCCAAGGTTCGTGTCGAAATATTTTCCCCACACAGTACATTTCGTAATTGTTAGCCAAAGTCAAACTAACAGTTCTCGAAAATGTAAACCTAATTGGATATACAAAACAGAATTCATCACAACTATTTATCTCATGTTAGTGAAAATTTGTTTGTTTCCTTTAGAATATAGGTTTAATTCCTGCCAAACATGCATTAGAATTAATTTTTTACTGGACTTCTTTGAAGACGCCTTCAAAAACCAAATAAATGATTTGGAAAATACTTTTTTAGGATTAAAAATGTATTATAAGTCAATGTATTTTAACTTTTACTTATCTAACTTCTGTTATACAGATTTGTGTATTCAATCAACATTCAGTCAAAATGAAATTGTATAATTACACATTCCAAAACAATGACATCTATATTTTCCCTTTCTGTAAACAGTCATTATCATTCCAGCAGTACCTGCATATCTATTCTTACTGCAATAAAGTAAAATTGAAACTGATTCGGGCTAATGTACTGTAAACACTTCACAGTTCCGCCTCAGTGTCCCAACTTGCTAGTTGGATATGACCGACATTGTTCAGCCCGAATGGTACGTGCGCAGCATTTTTTTTTTCGACTACATGTCAACGAAAAGAAAGTTTGTTGCACATTACTCCTGTTTGTTTTATTATTGTGCCCCACTATATATGCGCCGCCGTTTTCATGAGGAAACTTAACATGATCCGCAGCCAAAGCTGCATCTACAAGCTCTACTACTGTAAATTATCGATAATTTACACTAGCGCACAATTATCGGTCTTCGAAAACAACTGCAAACGTAATTTGTAACTTTTATTTGTTTATTATGTACAATATTAAAACAGACATCGAACCTAAACTTACTTATTAAAATTTTGACAATAATTGAAGTTTGTCTTTGTGAAAAATTATATTGCTTGAAGCTGCGATTGAAATTGAAGAAACTTAAAACTCTATCACGGTTTCTAATGTACTTGAACTACTCCTTTATTGAATTCTTAGTCATAAAAAAGGTTTTACTAATAAAAATTTGTTTTATACATTGTCAGAAGGAAATATCCACGTTTTCACTATCCCCCTAACGTTAACGATTTCGGAGTTATTTAATATCGAAAAAATCTAATATTTGCAGATTCTTCAGGATAATATAAAAGCAGTAAAACACACACACAAAATCTTAAGTAGCTTTGCTGATTAATTCTGAATTTTTAAAAATTATATCCATGTAGAGGCATAAGAAAATGACCGTCCATGTCTCTTTATATCAATATTTACAAAAAAAAAAACAAAATATACAAGAGCATGACGTCAAAGAGAAAAGCAATTTTATTCTTCACTTAAATAACTTGCGGACGATGTGGTAAGTTAGCAGCAACTCAGATCGACGTCTCGCTGTTGTAATAGAGTGTGGCAAGTTCAATTCTTCTGAATTTTTTTTACTAGTTCTTTACTCATAATCCCCTCCATCGTTGTTACAAATAGTAAGATCTTTAGTTTTGTTAGATTTCAGATGTTTTTAGTTGCGCGGATAGGCATCAGTATTTCGTATTTTTGGTTTGGGTATGTTAATTTTATAAGATAAAGACTTACATGTTAATATAGTGTTCTTGAATGTAATATGGACAATGTCAGATTAAATGATAACATTTAATATGTTCAGTTATAAAAACAGTTTTTGGATCTTTCTTCTTAAGGGCCCCATATTCTTTAAATAGTGTTTTCCGCAAAGACAAATAATTTCAAACATTTAATAACTGAATAATCTAAAGCTTATCAAATAATAGGAATGTTATGTCATGCCACCTGAGTATTTTCAAAGACGCCGCAGTAAAACGAATAAACAGGTGCAAAAAACGTTCAAACCATCAAGGTTTTAGGTACTGAAATCTACGAAAATACTAACTTTTTTATATATAATTCCACATGTAAATATTCTTATAACATTTACTTGCTTAGTCCTACATATAAAATTGTTTACTTTTATTTATAAGTACGTGAAAATAATTCTTAAAATGTGGGGTTAGAATAACAGCAAACGCATGTTTTACAAACGCTTTTTTTTAGTTATTATTTTATTTGAGTAAATTTAAATGGTAACAATGAATAAACAAAACATCAAGGATTTTATGTTTGTGCTTACTTTTGTTCTACACGTTTTACTTTTAAAGATTTCAGTACCTAAAAACGCCAGAAATTTCACTATTTCTCGGCCGGGAATATGGCCACCTTAATGTGTCTAACTGAAAGACTTTTTTATTTGACTTCCAGAAGAAATCAATAATTCCATGTATTTCAGAAAATAAAGCATAGATATATAGAGTATAATATTCTAAACGATATCAGTTGACGCAAGTTTTCAAATTTTTAGGCAAAGGCTATTCACGTTAAAATGAGGGGAGGGGGGGGGGGGGTAGTATACTAATATTTTGGGCAGATATTTTTAATTTTATTTTTTATTAAACTTTAGCAATATTATTTTTTAAACTCAAATAATATTTCAAAATTTTTGTGAGAGAATAAATCGTTATATAAAACATTCAATTTATATAAATACCAAGATTGTTTAGCGTTTACATAAGTTTTTTTTTGGTTAGTAGAAAAGTTATAATTTTATTAAAAGGAGTTGCATAGTTTGATATATCAAGTAAAAGTAAATTAAATTCTTGTACACTATTTTTTAATAATCTTTTACTGGAACAGATACGTACTGACATGGTAATATCAAATTAGTGTACCCAAAAAAACAGCAGCGTAACAACTAATTTCCATAATTCAATTTTGAGATTGTATCTACAGGGTGTATCACGAAGAGTGCCCAGTAGGCTTATCTCAAAAAGTAGTCAGAATTGAAATCTGAAAATTTATATACAGATATACAAAAAGATCTATTCAATGAAAATAGTGTCAACTTCCTCGCACTTTCGGTTATATCGGAAGTCATCATCAGCTCTGTTATTTCAAATGGAACACTATGTATATTTATGCATTTTTTAATTCTACGGCAAATCCTAGACTATTGACAGTTTTCAAGTTATTATTAATTTTCGAAAAAAATTGAGGGATGTAAGTGATTTTTGAAAATCTCCGACATTTTGCTTTATTTATTAATGAAATTTGGCATGGATAATTTAAAAGCAATGGAATTCAATCAGTTTATGTCAAATTTGCAAAAATTTATACATAGTGTTTAAAAACTTGTGGCCAATATTGTGACGTTGAAGTTGAATTTACTCAAAAATTTCAAGTGGTACAACCTGTATATTATTACATTAATGGATGCAGAATTTACTTTAAAATGATACTATAGTTCCCTATACTCAAAGTTAACAGTTCTTGTGTAAATTGGAAATTATTGATTTCAACACAGAAAAACCTACGAGTATAGTGGGTTTATTTAAAGCATCGCCCTTTTTAATTTAATATACTGAATTATTGTTTTTGATGAAGGTATAACAATAATAAAAATTACATTAATTTATTACCATTTATTGTTCAATTCTTTAGAGCATCAAATCCACCGTACATTTTTCTGTATTGAAATCAATAAGTTCCAATTTACACAGGAACTGTTAACTTTGGGTATAGGGAATTATAGTATCATTTACATAAAGTAAATTTAGTTGTGCATCCATTAACGTAAAAATATACAGGGTGTACCATTTGGAATATTTGAGTAAATTCACACTCCGACGAGTTATTCTGTTTTCAAAAATCATTTCCTTCAATTTTTTCGAAAATTGATAATAACTTGAAAACTATCACATTTTGGCCTATAATATCTTATGAAATTAGTCTAGATTTTACCGTAGAATTTAAAAATGCGAAAATATACAGAGCGTTCCATTTGAAATAACAGGTAACGATATAACCGGAAGTGCAAGAAAGTTGACACTATTTTCATTGAATAGATCTTTTTGATAAACCCCTGTGTACTAATTTTTCAGATTTCAATTTTGACTACTTTCTGAGATAATCCTACTAGGCTCTCTTCGTCATACACCCTGTATATTAGTGTATATACAGCGCCAATTGCAGTGGCAAATAAAAAATGTGTGAGTGTAAAGAATGCTCTATATTCTCAGCCTTCGCAACAGAAACAGCGATTTACCAATATATTTAATAAGTTCTAGTCTGCCCATTATTCCATTACCTATTACTTAAATTTCTTGATTCTTTATGTGTTTATTGATGCATTACCGAGTCATTCAATCAAATAATAGATTTACGTAATAGACACTTTCGCGAAAAACGCAATATTATACCAGAAAATAATGTCAGACGTAAAAAACAGTCCTTTCTCTGCAATAAATCGATTGTAACAAGTGAAATTGACGGAGAGCAGAGCTTAGTATAATTTATGCATTTGTGAACTCAACATCTCCCGCAGAGCGATGCACAATGTTATTAAGTAAATTGATAAGTGTTGCAGCCCTCGTAGTGCTCGTATTCGCGGGTGATAGTGATGTCCCTCATGTGCGATCCAAAAGGACTATCGGCGTTGTTTTAAGGAACGTGGGCGATTTGTTCGGTTTCGATGTGTTCAAAAGGCCAAATGTGGCTGGTGCTGTACCAGCAGCAGCGGGAACGCTAACAGATAACTTGAGAAAGTCCTTCACGATTAACATTAACTGGGATAAAAATCGAACTCACGCAAGTGCTCCCGCACCGGCACCAGCTACTGCTCGGGCTCCTGCTGCTGCTCCGGCTCCTGCTGCCGCTCCGGCCGCACCAGCTCCCGCCCGTCCTGCTAGGCCCGTTCCAGCTGCAGGTGCGGCCCCGAACTCAACGGCTACTCCTCAGCCAGTTCCTGCAGCTGGACCGGCTCCTGCTGCCGCACCAGCTGCCGGTTCGCCTTCTAATCCCGTTCCTGCTGCGCCCGGAATTACAACAACAGTTCCACCTACTCCACGAAGACCTTCTGGACCTCCAACAAAAACTCAGCTATACGTGGAGTACGTAGACAGTAATGGTAATGCCCGAGAGGAAAGAGAAGAAGAGGAAGATGAAGAAGATACTCCGAAACGTGTCCAAATCGGCCTTCCAGACTACTCGAGTGTTGATTATAACGAGGTTAAAAGAGACTTAGCCAATCAAGGAAACAACGATATCGACCATTCCAAAGAAAAATTCAAGCAGGAATTCAATAATTTCTGGGAGGCTTCTCCATGGACGATAGAGCATGGATATAGGTTTATTGTACCTCAAGGGCCGGATGCTTTAGTTGCAGGTATACCACAGGGTGCGGCTGATCTTCAAGAAATTGATGCGGGTAAAAAGAACAATGTCAACGTCAGAAGCTTGAAAATCGTGCACAACGTAAAGGTTTATCATAAACCTACCCAGAAAACGGAAAGTTATAACGATGTCGATAGTCAGAACTATAATATTGCACAAAATCCCCAACAAGAATTTCATATCGTAGATGAAGAGGGCGTGCGGTATATCGTCAACCAAAATGGTAAGAAACTTCCGCTACCACCTAGTTTAAATGCTCTGATATTAGAGTACTTTAAAAAAAAGTTTCAGGCTGATGCAGAAGCCCTGAAAGAAGCAGCCAGACGAGGACAACAAAATGCAAACCAACCCAACACAGAGCTTAACCATCCCAAAGTAGAGCTTGCTACGTCTGCTCCAATAATTTATAAGACGGAACAAATTCCAGTAGAATTAATTAGGGATTACATTGCAAATTCACAAAAAGACATTTCCAAACCAAACGTACCACCAGAAGTAAATAAGGAACGTCACGTTCTCAAAGTAAAACATTACCGTAACGATGAAACTCCATACAATAAAGAAGCAGAACTACCAGAAACTGTTAGAGAACCTGAATATTTGAACATTAAGGAAAAAGTCGAAGCCGGCCCACCTCGAAATTACAATTATAAAATAAGTCCTCATGAAAATTTGAATTCCTATGTAGCCAACGCTCGTCCTGGCCAGCTCGTCAAAATAAAAATCGTAGAACCTTCACGAGGAGCGGATTTTGATATAAGAGAAAAGGAAAAGGTTGTAGAGAAGCACGAAAGAACACAGGGGCAACACTTTGAGAAGACGGAAACTCCCAAAGTCGACGACATACCTGACTACATTCCAACTTTCAATTTTAAAGAATTTGAAAAAGTAGGTTATCCAAGCTTTGATGACGTGAAGAATCAGGATTTTTTTCGGGGTTTTTCGGAGGACGAGAAGAAGAATTTAGGAGACCACTATCATTTTTTTAGCTCGGACCAGGATCCCCGGGGCAGAGACAAACAACGTCTAGAAACTAAAACTGAAACCAACAACGAGGACGTTAAAAAAGAAATTACTGACAAAAATGATGAGAAAACTAAAACCCAAAATAAAAATACTAAAGAGGAAGTGAATGATAAAGACGACGTTGAGGATGATGACGAAGAAACTGAGGTTCCACAAAAGGTCCAAGAAGAAAAGGAAAAAGAGAAAAACGCTAAAGAAGATGAAGAGGATGAAAAACATCATTCACAAAATATTGCTGAAGAAGAGGATGATGAGGATGATGAGGAAGTGCGCCCTGCTGTCAAAAAAGAAGACGTCGTCGAAGAAGACGACGATGATGACGATGATGAAGAACAGAATGGGCAACTTATAAAATCTCCACAAAAAGAAGAAGTAAACGAAGAAGATGATGAAGAGGATGACGAAAAGGAAAATTTAAAAGAGAACGAAGACGATGAAGATGAAGACGAAGAAGCTGAGGATCGACCAAAAACTGTCGAAAAAGAAAATATAAAGGAAGAAGATGATGATGAAGATGAGGAGATTGAAAACGAAGATCAATCTAAAGCGATCGTAAAGGAGAATGAAAATGAAGAAGACGACGATGATGATGAGGAAATTGAAGACGAGGATCGACCTAAAGCGATCGTAAAAGAAAGTGCAAATGAAGAAGAGGATGAGGAAGTTGAAAGCAAAAATCGACCAAAAGCCGCTGAAAAAGAAAATATTAAAGAGGAGGATGAAGAAGAGGAGGATGAAGTTGAAAATGACGATGAAGAAACTAAGCAAAGAGCAAAGATTGTATATAACAACGTAAAGGAGATATTTGATGTGGAAAATTTTGAACCGGGGAGACTTAAATCTGAACGTCAACAAGAAGCTAGCAATCAACGTGACGAAGAGAAAGTGGCAAAGCCTTCTAGGGACCAGGAAAAGTTTATTGCCGAAATAGAGAGTTTAATAAATTCTAATTTTAAAGACGCTAAAAAAGGTTTTAACGACGGTATTAACGAAGAAACAAAAGAGTACCAAAGTGGCAGAAAGAATGCGGTAACGGGTAGACTAAAGTCAATCGAAAAATCACACGAAAATGAGTTTGATAACCTCTTCTCTAGACTGGGCGAGGGAATGGAATATGAGGATTTTTACAAACAATTCTACAGCGAAAGCAAATTCCCACCCTCACAGCAAAATTTGATTGACTCAGAAACGAAAAGTGCTCGATCAAAAGAAAAGCATCAATCTGAGTCAACTGTAGCGCAGCCATTGTATTCTGGGGCGCTACACACTCCAGCTGTTCAAGAATTATTTAAGTCTGACAAGCCATTAACGGTGCCTTTTGACCACGATTATAGTGCTACTGAAACAAAAAGTCAAACCGCCAAACATAGATCAAAAAGAAACGCCCAATCCTGGGACGATGAAGAGGATGAGACAAATGAGTTCCAGGAGGAAAGTCAATATGTCCCAGATAAATACGAAATAGATATGAGCTACGAAACTCCCGAGCCAAAAATGCCAGATTTTGCTAAACTGGAGGCCAAGAATTATAAAGATGACGATGCCTTACCTTCTAAAGCTCACGTAACAAAAAAAGAGGATGGTCAGAAAACAACTTGGATCAATATCGCAGTACCAGTTACATACACTACTAACGTTAGGACGTAAAAATAAATTTATTTAAGCTTTTGATAAATGACATCAAATGAGAGGAAAAGGATCTCAAAATTTAGTCTTGTTTTAGTAAATTATTTACTGCCTTTGAAGGCGTATTTTTGGATGGCTTACATTTGTTGTTGTTTATTAACAGCGTTGCTAATATGTAATACTTTTTAGGCTAGACAATTTTAAATGTTTTTAATCGTTTTTTTTTTGTTGTTAATTTTATTTTTGTTCAAATTGCTTTATATTACATATAGAACAAATGGAGGATTGCATTTTGTTGAACTCTTACTGTAAAATAAACATGTTTTTTTATTCATTTCTTTTTTGTACCCGTTCCAAGAAAAGATAGTATTACTATAAAAAATTAAAAAATATACCTATACTTCTTTAAACCTAACAGATGATTTGTCTTTTTTTATAGAAAGAAAAAATAATGTCATGAAAATTCACACAATAGACCTAAAAGAAATAATAAATAATATCGAAACGTTACACATAAATAAACAATAATAATAATAGTAATAACGCAATATGCTATTGTTTTTATAATATAGTGTGGTAGATAGTTATACAACCTAGAGGCTAAATATACTGAACATTTCATTCCCACGGTTTTTTAAGCAACTGGAACCTAACAATCAGAATAACTACAATTTCCAGTAATAATTACAGGTAAAAGAGTTAAAAACTTAAAGAAATAAATTAAAAAGCAGTTTTTAATTAAAGAAAATGTAAAAGTTGATACAATCTAATGTTAGCTAATTGGACGCTAAACTATGTAAGATATACATAAGACTGTCACATGTTACTTAAAATGCTGTTCACGAGTGACAAAGAAAGCGATAAACATAATAAGAAATTCTGGGATACGCTACGTCATGGAATATATCAATAAAGAAATTTGTTTATAGCGTTTTCAATTAAAATGATAAAAGGTTATTGATTTCTGCTCTAAAATAAATGCATCAAACCAAATTTTACCCGGTTAAAGTATTCAAACGCAGCAGGTAATGTAGAATTCCAAAATATAAAACAGCTTTTAGTTCAAGAAATTTAAGGTAAATAATGTTGATAGATATAGTTTTTTTAAGCCAATGCTAATGCAAAAAAAAATATAACAGACTCATACGTCCGAAAATATACCTACAAGATGCTAAGGAGTTTTTGGAACTTTAAAGCCTTGTTTTTTAATTGTGAATAATAGTACTTCTTAGAATGCTAAATTCAAAGAAAATAAGCTGAAGCCGCTAGATGAAAATAGCGAATCCGCGTATGAAAGAGGCGCGCGCGCAGCTCATAGCGCTTTATTAACAATTAAAAAACAAGGCTTTAGAATAATGCGAGTCCCAAAAACTCTTCAGCATCTTGTAGGGGGATGTTTAAACTTTAATTTAGGTACCTGGCAACATAAAAAATAACAATTTTTAACCCGGAAATCGGCCGTTGAAATTCGTCATTTTCGCATTTTTAGCAATTTAAATTGTTTATAACTTTAAAACTATCAATTTTAGAGGCATAGTGCATAGAATTTTTTGGTTATAATATCCCAAAAAAACCTAACCTTTTTTCCGGATTGAGAAAACCAATTTTTACAATTTGTTTAAAAAAAGTTTGTTTAAACAAATGGGCACCAGATTTCCGGCCGGCATCACCTTGATTCATGTTAAGAAACATCTCACGAATCGAATATGCAAAAAAAATCGAGTAGGAAAATTTCTCCCTCGAATGCGAGGTTTTCGCCTTGTCTAAATGTAAGTATGGACTTTATATCATAAATAGCCAAATTTCAATACTTCTAAAGTTTTTGTTCAAATTTTCCAAGAATCTTTAGGTAGCGTCTGTTAAAGGAAGGCACTGCACCAAATGAAGTCTAAATCTTACATGACTCTTGAGATCAAAAACTATGTTCTACTTTCAATCTTTGAAAGATCGTAGGTAAAAGCCTTAGGAATTGTTCTTCTCATGAGACAAATTAATTCTGAAAATTTATTGCGACGTTGCTTCAAATTCTTGAAGCCCTTAAGAATTAATTTATGAAAATAATGTTACTGTTGTTTGTTTTGTCGAAAGGAATCGGTTCTCAGAATTTATAGCAGCACAGCTGCAATATTCTATAAAATGGCGAATGCGCCAATATTAAACAGTTACCTTTTTTTGCTTTTTGTAGATTTTATGTATAAAATAGTAATGATAAGTAAAACTAAATTTCACAACAAATTTGTATAACATTACTAATATTACTATCACTCTTTGATGTATGCTTATAATTTTTTGATGAAATTTCAAAATAAAGGCAAAATCCAATGTTTTACCTAATACTTTGTTAATGCACCTCTGTTCCCTTATAATTATTGTTTGCTTCGCTTTTTGCTTTTTGGTTATTTTACGTCGGTCTATTTCTGCTACTATGACCTGGAAATTTTACCGAACCCCCACTTTGTCGTAGAGTAGGGATATTTCACTTGCCTTGTTTAGACAAGGGACCAACCAACGGTTTTACATCCCCCACAAAGCGCCTACACAGGCCGCATTTGCGGTCGGGGTAGACGACGGATGGGGCCCACCTACGAAGGCTGTCCAGGCCTACACGAGATGAGGCAGGATAAAGAGGGATAATCCCCCTCGATCCCAAATCATTGAGGCCAATTTCTAGCCATGGAATAATGGCGCGGTTTTACATCCTTTCCGAAGGACGGTATGATTGGCATAACAAGACTTTTGGTATAAAAGAACATTGTTCAACCATTTGATAGGATTTACAGGAATTTTTTTTTTGAATTTATATATTTAAATTAGCCTCAAACTAGCGAAGAAATTCTTTATTTCCTTTCGAAAAATCGTTATACGTTAAATTAAACAACTTTGGTCCAATTTATTCATCTCTTTATCGCGAGTTCCGAGAATGTTGCGACATCCAATCTTAAACGCTTTGTATTTAAAAAAATATATTAATTGGTGGACAATCCAGGAAATAAGAAATATTACAATAAATTTTGTTTCAGGACACAAAATCGATAGGAATACAAGTTGGCACTGATGCGAAAACTGCTGAACCCCGTACAGACAATAAACAAGAGGAAAAGGGTTACCAAAAAAAGTAAGTGCAATACATTTATTTATGCACTATTTTTAGTATTGATGAGACATAACCAAAAAAATTATATAACTAAATGTATTGTGGGATTATTACTATTTGAGCTATATAAACATCTACTGGCATTGAATTACATATTACATCCCAATATCCAGCAGATAGCTAAGATAATTCATTAGGAAAGTCATCAGACATAGGCTGGTTTCGAATTTATTATTTTAAGTCCACTGGCACATGTGCAGTGCAGTTAGGGTTACCAGATCTATTTCATGACTGACCCGGAGACTTGAGCCGTTTGTACAATTGATGCTTAAAAAAAAGGTTATGCAAATGCAATCAGGAAATCTTGCGTTGTATAATTGATATTTAAAAAAAAAGGACGGAATCAGGAAATGTGGGAAATGTTTTCCTTAACTCCGAGCCCGAAGATGTACCATCAAAACCCGGAGATCTGGCAACCCTAATTGCAGTACGGGTCATGTATTTGTAGCACTTATAGATTAATAGGTTACTGTGTGTTAGTAGCTACATGTATCAATCGATCTAAAGCAGTGTCATATTCCAAGTCTCGAGCGAGTTTCTCAAACAAATTTTCGCTCAACTTTCCAGTCGGTGCTACGAAGTCGTCTCCAATCGCTCAACTCAGGACTAATCCCGGACAAAGTAGACACTTATGTCCGAGGGGATCCAAATAATCCACCACGAGAAGCAGAACGTGTGGAACGGAAAATAATATTTTCGACTGTTTCTAAAATTTCCGCCGAAGTCCTTTACAAGGCTCCCAGCCCACCGCAAACACTAGAGCCGCAACAGACGACACCGCAGAAGTAGAAAATTTATCTCAGTTTCGAATTTCGGAAAATAAAAATCTAAAAATGCGGAATTTGAACTATGGGGAACCTCAAAAACACAAAACCACTCAGACTATCACCCGATCACCCGTTCCAACTACAATCAAAAGATAGGCAAAATCCGAAAGGGCCAATTGTCCAAAGCTACGGCGTACCTCGTTACAGGACATCCGCGAACCCATCAAGTAATGGGATCGAACGTCAACCCTGGTATCTTGTAATTCAGTAACCAGGAACGGATACTTACCCAGTGCATGTAGTATGACACAAAATTAATATTTGCATTGTATGTATAAAACTCTTTGCATATCAGATACTATTATCGCAAATATTTTTCAAAAAAATCAAATTTTTAATTCAGAATATTGTTAAAAATTTTCACAAATTTTTGCGAGTACTTTGCTTCCGGCTTGGATCTTAGTTCTAGCACTCTACCCACCCAGGCATTGTCCAATCCTGCAGTGAGATCCCAATGAATAAACCAAGCTCCTAGAAGCTTCCGTATATCGGGTACTCACCTTGAAACCAGTGCTAGGCAAGGCAAAGCAAAATACGGTGATATAGATACCTGAATAACCGTGCTCAGTGTTGACAAAAACATTTTGTGCAACTAGCCTCAGAAAATCGTGCCATCCCAAAGATGTACCAGAGCGAACGAAGGCAACAGAATAAAATAAATCTTTGCCTACATTAAGACATTAAAAAATATTGAGAATATCATTTGTATTTGTTTCAGCCTTACCGAAATCTTCGACAGACTCAAGACTGAACTTGTGGACCTTCACAGCCATATAGAGAAGCAAATTAGGTTGTAAAGGAAATTAAATGGGAAACTCGGCAAGAAAATTTATTTAAATCACTCATAAAATCTGTTGTATTTAGAACACGATAATATACAACTCAAATAAACGTTTTAAGTATTTACATATTGTCAACAGGTACAGCTTATATAAAATCTAACAATCCCTGATAACTTAATACTAAAATAAAAGCGTTTTAACAAGGTACACGTGCAAAATATTGGTAACAAGTTTTATATCAAACAAAAATAATATTTAAATTTTTTTATCACACAAAGATAAATGCAAAAATACATTTATGTTTTTTATCAGTTTAAAACTTTATAAAAATTGAATATAGATTTTATCAACATCTTTAAAACATGATATGCATAATTTCATCTATTTTATTAAATAACATGAGAAATAAAAAAATTATTTAAATTGCAAGTTTGTCAGAAGTTCATATCACATTAATTATTAACTAAAAAGGCAAAATCATCAATATTAGTTAAAAATAAATGCTTCTATATTAATTTTGACAAATTTCACTTGAAAATTAAATATATTTGAAAGAATATTTTTGACAAATTTCTGAATATTTGCTGGTTTAAGACAAAAGTTATAATCGAAAATAAATAATATGAAAAAAAATGAGGATCAAGTTTGTCTTATATTTGTTATCTAGCCTTAACTTCAAGTAAAATTGGAGACTTGCATACTTTCACATAAAGATACGATTTTAAGTCCAACATCATTGGCACATATTAAAAATCATCTCCATTTTTTGTAAAGTATGCCTTTAAAATGACATCCTAGCTATCGCACATTAATTATTGTCCTAAACTCGTCCATTATTAAAATACATTCAGCAATAAGTGAATGTAAATATTAAAATCAATTTGCGCTTCTTTGTAAAGATAAAATCAGATCTTTAAAATTATTCTAAAATGATTTTGCAAGCATCATGCAAATGTTTCGGTAAGCAATGTGTGCATATAATCGTAAACGACCAGCATTATGGCTCCACCAGGTCCCAATCGTAGAACTTTGGGAAGAAGTCCTTTATAAAGGGCCCTCGCACTATAAAACAAATCAGGTCTTAAATGGGTTCCAACAAACTGTCTAAGAAATTGTCGCAATTTGCTGTATCTGCGGCATTTTCCTATGTTGTAATACATTAGCCAACTTATTGGTCAAATAAAAAGACTACCAAAATCAAAGAGGCATAAAGCATGACATACTTAACATGTATAAATAATAAAAGAAAATGTCAACGATTCTAAAATGCACTAAAAATGAATATTACCACCATTAAGTTGATACGCTATGCTACCAGATAAGTTAAAAGTAAGGTAGGCTAAATGAACACAAATTTTGATGGTTGCAGACCATCAGAACTCAGGGGGCATTGCAATTAACACCATCTTACAAATTACTTATTATAATTAAATATCCTTAATTGTGAGAGATTTTGTATTAATTGTTATTAAGGAAACGTGCATCTTTTATTGTGAAAATTATTAGTGAACAAATGGAAAGTTTATTTTTCTATATTCTCAATTTAACTGAGTTTTCTTTTTTGAAAAGACAATATGTCTATTATATGTGTACTGATAAATGGTCCATAGTGTCACAAAGTACATTGCAGTAAAATGCAAGGAAAATTATGAAAATTTTCTTAATAAACTTCTGGTCAGTTTAATTTATTTACATAGTGAACGGTTTCAAAATAAAAACCTGAAATAATGATTCAGGATAAGCAGTCTCGGCTGATGAAAATTAAAATAGGCATACTTTGATGAAGAAAAATGAAATCCAAGCCATTTTTTAGTGGATGAATTATACAGGGTGTCTGCAAATTTCACCGACAACGTTTGACTGCATATTCACGACGATAAATAAATACGATCTACGACAAAAAGTTAAATAAATACTTTTTGGTTTTTGACTAACAGGACTTCAAAGTGTTGTCAAAAATAAAACTAATTTAATTAATAACTTCATAACCGCTTTACCGATCGCGTTAAAATTTGGCACATTTATTTGGACTATTATGGAGTATTATTTCTTAAAGCTTTAGTCAAATCGATATACTGGGTGACGGTTGAATTTACGAAATAAAAAATTTAAATTGGGATAGCCCTTTTTTTCTTTTATTTTTCATAAAATAACATTTCCTTTATTGTGGTTGTACTTATTTAAATTTTAATTTAATATTAACATTCCATCTTTTAAAATTTTATAATGCAGTGACTAAGAAAAATAAACATTTTGTCTAAAATAAGAAGACCTGTTTGTATTTATTGGTTGACTATAAAAAAAATATTTTGCATATATGTATGCAACCCTTTTTAAGCTGTGAAGCTATCCTTAATTTAATTTTTTATTTTGTATTTACTTTGAAAATTATCCATACAGCCCTACAAATCACTGCCTAAGGAAACAGTATAGGTCTCAACCTTCATTATCAAACAAATTAAGAACTAGATAAAAACACTGCCTAAGTAGAAAGTGAAATAAAAAAATCTAAGTGATTTGGAAAAATTTTTGGCTATTAATGAAACGAACAATGGAAAAAATTAAATGCTTAATTGGGGACTGTATCGAGGTAGTTAATATGTAACATTTACTTACAACTTCTTTGTAATATTATCTGTATACTAATGTACTATAGAAATATGTAAATACATTTAATAATGATAACTCCAGTATTCTATAAAAAGTGAAAAAATACGAGGCATATACGATATCAGTTTGGTAATAAATCATATAGTATCCATGCAAATAAATGTGAGACTATCGGCTTAAGTTGATAAATATTAATTCAGATTCATATTATGTATTTTTCATTACATATCTTATCTAAAATCTGTATGTGTAATATGGATACTTACCCTTCTTCTTTATATACCAATATAAGAGACTGTGCAGTACCCTTATATTTAATTTGTCCCGGTACCGGTTGAGGACCTTGTATCCTAGATTTGGCTACATCGAAGGGTATATTTATACAAGATGCCAAAGTTCCAGAGACAAATCCTATGCTTACTTTCCTGAAGAATTCTTTTAGAGGCTCCTAAAATTATAAATAATTTTTATAATGTGCATAATGTAAATTTTAATGTAGCAGTAATATTTTTAATTACCTTATATTCGGGTAACAATCCTTTAACAGAATGATAAAATCCGAAATATACCATGTTAAAGGTACCATTTCTCCCAATTGTTGCGGTAACTCCTTTATTTAGACCTATAATTCCATCGCGAGCAACTATTTGCTTAGTTACAGACCAGGTACTAGGTACCTCAGTGACACGATTTCGATTTGCTTGTAACTGTACTTTAACCACTTCAAATGGGTTTACCAAAATAGCTTCGGTGATTCCTGCACCTAGACCAGCTAGAGAGAAAGTCTAAAATAAAAATCAAAATAATTTGCTTCTTTAAAGAAAAAAATATAAAGATAGATGTACACATTTTACAGATTAACGATTAAATCAATTGAGGATTGCAGTATAACTGAAAAAAAAAACTCACCAGTGGAGTTGGTGTGGGGGAACCAAACATAAAGAATTGTTTGTACTGCTCAAACGTAAAAAACTAAAAAGCAAATCACTATTAAAACAAATAAATATATACATTTCGACAATGTAATTACTTTAACAGCACGCTTTGGGGTTTCAGCTAAAATAGGAGGCAGAATTCCTTTCCAGAAAGAACCAATTCCTTCGTTTACGTACATTTTTTTGAAGCAGTCTAATATGCCGTTGTAATACTGTGGGTCATTTATGTTTTTCCCACTCTGAATTTGTAATCGGGTTTTAATCAAATCTAAAGGGTGCATTATACAAACTTCTACAAAACCTGTGCAAAAAAAATATAGAAACCAAGTATTAGTTACTAGTATATACTTAAGTACCTGCAGATCCCCCAGAGCCTATTTGGATGGCAGCTTCTTTTAGGACTTTGTACATTTCAGGCATGATTAAATGTTTTTGATGTGCAATGTAAGTATTAGCAGGAGACGAGTGCAAATATCTCTCAACGTTAGTAAAGAAACTGAAGTACTGAAGATAAAAAATAAAATTAGATAAAATATCGTCTCCAAACCAAGATTGTAAACATTCCTAATATGTGAATGTATCAGCTGATTTGGGCAACGTGATGTAACGCAATGATGTGACGTTTCACGTTTCACTGATTTCAGCATTTTACAGTATATTTTTTATACATATAAACCAACAAACCAAGAGCCAAGAAGAGTTTTAAGTTTAAACGTTTGAGCCTTGAGCGAGCCTTGTACTATTAAACAATGCTGGGACTAGATTAATTGGTAGATTGACCAAGCAGAAAATTATTTCTTGATTTTATGTTGAATAATATAAAATATATACGACCAAATGTCTATAAATGATACTACGAAAAAATATATTATTGTTGCTTTCAAGATCGTATTATAAACACTATTTTCTTTCTATCAATTGGCTATACCAATACACTAGAGAAAATTTATATTTAAATATATTTCGTATATAAAATTATTAATTTTATTTGTTAATGGCGCCAAAATCAAAAGACTAAAAGTTCATCCATGCAATGACAATACTATCAACTGTGACAAAACAAAATTACCACAGTTAGATAAACTTTGTTCCTAGAACCAACCGCAGAGCTCATGTACGAGGATAGAAGAAGAAGAACAAAATGTTGTAGTATTTGTGATACATAATTACATTACATCACATCATTACAGTTAATTTTTCAATTATGAAAGGGTCACAATTAAAGTCGCTTAATATATTTAGTGACTACTCATAATTTTTATGACGCGCCATCTATCGCTTGAAAACGGCACTCAACCGCGGAATAATTCTTTAGTAGATAGCCAACTGTAACAGCCTCACATGCTCTGGTGAATTAATTGAACTATCAGTGTATAGATGGCACGGATTCTTTTCACAATAAATAGAACTTTATGCATTACATTATGTTATAATATGTTTTGTGCATTACATTAACTTTACTCGCAGAAAAACCAACTATCCTAGCATGTTCAGCGGCCTTAAAACCGCAAGTGCACCTTTAGAAAAGCACTTTAATTTTTTGAAAATTTTCGTGCTATTAAAAATTTGTTTGAAAGAAATTTGAGTAAGTGAAGTTGGTCAAATACACATACTTCTACTAGTATGTGGTCAAATACACAAATATGCTAAGCCAATTGATGATGAAGAAGAAATATTTATTATTTAATTTAAGGTTTAAGGTTATATTTTTTGTATTTGTAGAGACAATAGGCACGTGTAGTAAGTAATTTATTAATTATAGCCCCAAAAATGAGTTCTAGTGATTCTGAATTAAGTGAAAGCGATGCTGAGGTAATTAAATTTTTTAAATGTATAGGTATATACATAAGATATAACTAATTTTTAGCTACAACAAGCATTTGTTGATGGTAAACTTAAACCAGGCTTGAATATAGTAGAAACTCCAAAGGAATTTGTTAATAATGTGGTATGTATAGTAATATATTAGAAATAAATATTGCATGTTTCTGCACATTTCTTTAGAGTGGACTTAAACAAAAGTTGGAGGAATTCAAACTGAAACTGTCCTGGATAGAACAACTCGACTGTGTTAATAAACAAGCTCCACTAGCTCCAGAATTAGCAGCACAAATGTTAACTCAAGAGCAACAGAGAGAAAGTCAACTGAAGAACAATAAAAAATTACCACAATATACACCTAGTGAAGACCCAGTATTAAACGATTTTAAAAGGGAAATGACTTTTCATAGGCAAGCTCAAGCTGCTGTAACTGAAGCTATTCCAAGATTAAAAGCTATGGGAATAGCTACCAAAAGGTATGATACATATTTAGATAGCTTCTTGACTAGTTAAATGTGGTAGAAAAGTAAATTTTGTTATTTGCAGACCTGATGATTACTTTGCCGAGATGGCAAAAACAGATGCACATATGCAGAAAATTAGGGAACATTTAATGAAAAAGCAAGAACAACAAAAGAGAAGTGAAAGAGTAAAACAGTTACGGCAGCAACGAAAGCAAGGAAAATTACTACAAATTCAGACTAAACTGCAAAGACAGCAAGAGAAAAAAGAAATACTTGAACAAGTTAAAAAAGTACGCAAAGGAATTTCTAAGAATCTGGATTTCCTCGATGGAAAACAAAATAAAGCCGTGTCTAAAAAAGCAGTGGAAAAAAGGAAAATGAAAAATAAGAAATTTGGCTTTGGGGGGAAGAAAAAAGGAATGAAAGCAAATACAAAGGACAGTGCAGCAGACATTAGTGAATATAAAAGACCTAACAAGAACATGGGGAAGGGTAAAATGAAGTCTCAAAATAAAAATAGACCAGGAAAAAATAGGCGAATTAAGAATAAATCAAGAGGGAAAAATAATCATGTAACTTATAAAATATAAATACGAATGCTGTGAGTTCCGATACAAATGTGAGATGCATCAACTGATATGAAATTTGTTTAGAACCATACATGTAATAAATTTTAACAAATTTGTTAATTTTCTTATTCATGTTTTCAATTTTTGTGTTTGGATTGTGTTTTGATTACAAGGGGCACAATGGCAGGGATGGGGCAACATTTAGATGTTACCTAAACTTTCTGTGGCGCACCTTGAACAGGGCTATTTTATATGCCATGTTGTGTGTCACTATTTTTGTTTCACCCATTGAAATTTTCAAACTAAATTGCATTTAATGGACAAAAATGAGATCTCAGAGCTGCTTTTGAGTGTAAAATATTTAACTCCTTTTAATTTGGCTGTATTTTGCATTGGAAGGATTACATCCAAATTATCTCATTTTGACTGAAAATTTAACTTTCAATTAATTTCTTTAATTTGTTGACCGTTTGATTTGATAATAAAAAAATATGTAAAAAATTTTTTATTCCGAAATAATGTAAATAATTGTCTGCAGCACTAATAAAAAATAAAAATATTTATTGTGCAAGCCCATGCATCAAACATCAAACTATTCAAACTAACTTGGTTCACTTGGTTGATAATCTGTGGTACTTGTTATCTATGCATCAAACGCCAACAAATATACTGGGGTTTCAGGGGAGAAGAAAAGAAGCCTGCACATCTGGACTGGGGTACTTCAAACGTTACACCCCAGATTAAGGTTTGAATTACTTTCGGCTTACACACCGAAATCATAGATAAGCGTCGAGCATATACGACTCAAAGTAGATAAGATACCGAAATGCAGCTTAGACACAGAAGATAAATTGTTTTATCTTCTGTGGCTTAGATCTTTCTATTCTTAGGCCGGTGTCCCATGCATCCGATATCCGACGTACGATATCCGATAATATTTTAATTCGTACGAATGATAATATTCCGGTGTCCCATGCATCCGAAATCCGATGTACGATATCCGAAAATATTTTAATTCCTACGAATGATAAAATTATAATTCACATGCATCCGAAATTAATCTCATAGAAATCAAGTATAGAACCATGGAATTTATTACAAGATGAAGGTGAAACATTTTCAAGTGACAACCATAAGTATATATTATAGAAAATATACGTAGTATTATATTTTCTACATTCGACATTATAATATAACATTTATTTAACTGTAAATATATCAAACAACAATCGTAGTATGTTAAAAACTTAAAAAGTGAGGTTAAAAAACATACGATTTCGGATAAAAGTTAAAATTATTTCTACTTTTTCCGACGTCGTATGAATTTTAAAAATTTCGGATGAAAATGAGCGGTAAAAATTTGAATGTATATTAACCAATAGGAACACTTTCGGACCTTCGTATCGTCGGATTTCGGATGCATGGGACACCGGCCTTACTCTACAAGATCTCGATGAAAATTGTATCAATATTTCTTCTACTAAGGTTGGTAACGCTGGACGTAGACGTAATTTTGACATTTGTCAGTCTTTTTTTGACAAATATGCCTTGTTATGATAAGAGAAGTAGATAGGTTCTATTTGTAATACCAGAGTTTTTATAATATATTTGATTAATAATAAATAAATCAAACATATCTAGTAAGAACTGTTCGCACGTGTTATCCGTTCAACCATGAATTTAAATAAGTTATACCAACTAAAACTTCAAGATGGTGAGCAACAAAAAGGAGGATGAATCTCAAGTTTTTATAAGTATGTGCTGTAAAAGTTACGTTCTAAATTTATAATGCTAGAAGATCATCAAATGGGATCACAAACTTTAGAAATTTTACGACAAGGTGTTTGGGCATCTTTTACTGGGGGATGGTTTTATGATCCACATCAAGATGTGTTTTGTAATACTTTCCACTTGTATATTTGGCTTTTTTTATTATGTCTTCCATTTTCCATCTATGTGGTAAGTTTAACAAAAGCCATTTTATATTAAATCAATCTATTAATTACTGTGACCTAATTTATTTTCATTCTGGTTTTCTGTAGAGGTCAAAACTGTGTACTAATTAGAATGTCACGAAGTTGAGAGTCAAATTTTATATTTTTTAACTTACTTTAATGAGTACTAAATAGTGCAGGGTAATAGTAAACATTACTAATTTCAGAAAGGTTTTTAATATATTTTTAGAAACTATTTAGCAAATAAACTAAAACAAGCTGAGGTATATCGTAAATATTTCTATTTCTGCTTTTTAGTTAAATCGTGGTATTTTCAACTTTAAATAAATCTTTGTTATTTAGATCAGATGTAACTAATAAAATTCAATTTGAAAAGGTCTGTTACAACAATTAAACTTCTATGCTATTTGTTATGTGAAACACATTCATATTGTTAAGTGTAATTACCAAGAATTGAAGATAAAAAAATTACAACTTAATTCTTTTAATAAACAATAAAGATATTTTTATGTATTAAGAATGATTTGTTGGCGTTTCGAGTTCATGTGAACTGTAGGTATATGGTATATAAATACCATCATCTCTCTTTGTTCAAATTTATTTTTGTCGTAAATTTACCTTTGGTGGGAACACATAAAATATTTCTTTTTATTACTTTCTGATAGTTATCTTTCATTTATATGCATGCGAAAGTAATAGAATATGATTTTACTTGCTTAATAGTTTTCACAACAGTTTAAAATTTGATCCCATTTTAAGACAAAATTATTGTTTGTTTGATTAAAATTGTACCTAGTTGAAAATATCACTTTGTTAATGGCTAAATAAATATAAAAAAGTAATAAAAATCATCCAAAGTGACTTCATTTTCAAAGATAGATTCTTACTCAAAATAATTTTTATTTTTCTTAATTAGGTGCAGATTTTCTATTTGATATTTTCTTGCGTCTCTCATCTTTTTAAAACATGTTTTGGGTGCTTTGAACAATATATTGCCTTGATATTTCAGTATTTTCCACCTACAAGATATGTTTGGTACTTTTATTGCGGGTCAGTAACCATAGCACTGACTATAATTAAACTGGTTAATTATGGCCTTCATCATATGTATGACACTACCGAATGTATTCAAGAAGAAATAGAAGATGAATGGCAAGGACAAAAGAGGTAATTACCGTCTGTATGTAATAAATTTGCATGTTATTTATTTTAGTAATCGGTGTGCAAAAAAATGTTATTGTGAAACTAATATTAGTTTATTCTAATTAATAATCAATCGCATCTAAATCTTCTGTTCTTTTTAGGGAAGAAGAAGGTATTGAGTTGCAAATTTTATCAAATAAGGTACCAAACCAAACCACAGTACCTGTATTAAGTTCTTTGAATACTTTTTCGGAGGCTGGTGCTTTACCCAGTACTGATGCAGATAGTTTGGAATCCACAGAGTTCCAACAGTTAGATGTTGCGCAGGGAGGTGGAAAGCCAAATAGCACAATTGGTATGTGAATTTGTTTATATCCTGACTATCACTACAAACTATAATTCTAGAAAATACTGTGCTGACACAAATTTATTTCTTGTTATTGTATTTGTTATCTTTATTTTCATAGATCTTAAGGAAGTTAGTTATTTCAAGAAATATTAAAGTAAATTTATTTCATTAAATGCAGTGAAAATATTTGAAAATTAATTGATGATAACCAAAATAAAACAATATTTTATGTTTTTAAATCAAAGGCCGTACTATAAACTAAAACCTAAAAATATTAATTTGTTAATATTTTTATAATCAAAATTGTAAATATAATAAATGATAAATTGCTGTAAGTGATTCTTGAGCTATAAAGTTTATATGAATGTAGGTCCAGAAAGACTTCTTATTAAAATACAAGGTGATCAATTTTTTATCTTTTTTGTTTTTTTTTTGGTTATTCTTATTTGTACATGTCTTTTAAGATAATTCATTCAAATTCAGTAGATTCAACAGTTTTTTTGAGGACCAACGGAATGTAACGAATTATCTTTTGATTAAACTTTTTGATGTCACATTTTGTGAAGTGTACTCTCATTTTAATGTGATCTATTGGCGAGCTTTAAGGAAAACTTTCATAATACCGTGTTAAGTGTGGAAACCTAATCGGCTAGGAAAAACAACCATTGATACCAATCCTAAAGAATTTATTGAACTTTACACCCTGTGTATTAAAAATTAAATGTTATATAACGATCAATTTTACAGATTTAAAAGCTGAGGTTCACAGGAAGAATTCCTCAGAAAGTAGTGATGATTTTACAGGCGGCCCCATCTTAGAAATTATTACTCACGCGGAACCGCCGGATCGAGAGAGTAGATTAAGACGTACCGACAGACGCGTCAAACATCAGCGTTCCAAAACAGACGGATTTGTCACTTTTTCAGTGAAAGATGAAAAAAATCCGCATTCCAGTTTTCGAAAGTTGTACCAGCAGGGCAGCACCGACTCTCAGGAGAATGGTCTTCTCATACAGCAAAGACCCTCTTTGCAAAGCGTTGAATCAGAACAGGGTACATCCAATTTCGGCGAAAGTGGCGGAAGAAGGCATTCAAATTTTACCAATAGTAGTCTGGGTTTCTTGCCGTCCAGTGTGCAGGCTGATATAAAACCTACAGGTAACTGTTTTAATGATAATAATGATGAGTGAGCGGACATGAAGCTAAAAAACGTTGGGCGACTACATTATTATTGTCGTAAACTGATAATACCTATTCTCTTTATATTTTTTTTGTTCTTCTGATGACTAAGTCTTACAATGCACTTCCTTAACCTTAGCTGTAAATCTTTGACCTGGTCTGGTTGTTCAGTTTTATTTTATTCAAATTTGTTATATTCAGCTTAATTAGCAATTAAAATTTCAATAACATCCTATATTTAGCCCTCAAGTTCTCTTTAACTGGTCATATTTCAAAAACGAATCAGATGCACTCTTATAGGAATCTTTTATATCGATTTTGACATAGTATCCACCATTAGTCAAGTACCTTAGTTACACCCTTTTCATTTGCATATGTTTTAGGTTCTTTAGAATTAGGTTACATCGATAAGAATCCAAATCAGGCACTCACGTCGGAGGGATTTTATTTCAAGCCAAACAGTCGAGGCGGTGTGAGAAGAATACGATCCACAGCTCTGGAAACTTGCTGCCCCCCTCCACCCTTAGCAGCGCATCCTAATAGCTTGGAGGTCATAGGGTGCAAGAGCACCAGAAATCCTTTGCCTCCACCTAGCACCAGTCTTACGAGGAATCAGCATTTAAACTTGTGTCCCTATTACGGATCAGAGATCGTATACCCTATCGCGGAGCAATCCGACGAACACCAGACCTCCCACGGCCCCGATACTGATTTGGACTCTTTGACCCATATATCCGATTCAGATTTTGAGGAGAATAACCAAGGTAGTCATTCCCCTCTTATATACATTAAACTGAAGAAACTGAAAAATGTGCCTTACGATGAAAAATACCAAGCTAAAATACCCCCGAAACTCGTAGACGAGGAGCGCACCAGTGCCACTTCTAAGGATGCCTTACTGGACAATGACAATTCCAATTCTAGTGCTACCCCCGACATGCAGGATGCTCGCGCTGACTGCTACGGCACCGATAACGACGTTAGTGACAAGAAACTTAGTGAATGCTCAAACTTGTCCTGCAGTAATACTAGCGTGGAGTGCGAGGAACGGACTAGTGAACGACGAATTAGAAACACCGTTAAATTTAAACAAAGTGATAAGTGCGTCAAGAATAAGTTAGGGACCGAGGAATTCCGGCTCGAGGGTACTTACAGAATATGTGATAGCGAAGTACACGATGGCAGGACTGACGGGAACAAAAGTGGTATTGTCCGTAAGAGGAACATTAAGAGGAACAAGAGAAGGAAGTACAACGATAAAAACAAAGACGCGGAAACTAGTGGTAACTTTTCTAGTCTCGTGGAGTTGGATTTGGATTGGTTGTTCGATGATGAAAACCATCGTCTACAGCATAGAAAAGGTAACAATGTTATTATATTTGTATTTTTTAATTCGAAAATATGTGTTTAAAAAAAAATTACCGCTGTTCTATAGCCCCGAAATCCAACTTATGTGTAAATTTTTTGGAAATTAACGTTGACGATGGCCCGGATTCACTTTCAGTCGGTTTGCTAATGTCAATTCTCTCAAATAAAAGCAAAATCTTCGTTACGACGCCGTTGTTGATTTGAATATTTTTGAATTTTGAATTTGAATTTTTTTGTGGCACGTGAATTTTAATTTGTCAGCATCGATCATGCTACCCTCTGGCTACAGCCAATCTAAGCTGTCCCAAAACTGTGAATAACTTCAATAATTGAACCGATCAAATCCTATTTCTAACCTTTAAATAAAATGTTGAATTTTAAAAATATTTTTATAGATTTAAAAAATATATTTTCCGTATGTATAATAGAACCCTTGAAGAGGGAATCAGAGTGGTCCAGTACAACCACAGTGTCCTTAGAACACGACGTGAGCAAAGTCTTGCAAGAGACAGTTCCCGCGGCACGAAGCTTGGGCGCTATTCCAAAGAAATCCAGGACAGCTTCGAGTTATAACGAACCGTCTAGTAGGAAGACCCCGAAGAGTGAATCTGAAAAGTGTAGCATCTGCAGGTGTAAGCCAGATTTGCCGCCGGAAGAGAGACCCAAGAATAGGTCGATGAAGGAGAATAAGGTAACACAAACGTTGAGGCAGAGCGACAGTCCCAGTCCCGAAGGATTGGAATGTATCGTGTATTCGTCTCCAAAAGCGCCCAAGGTGGGAGTTTCAAAAAGAGGTATTTGCAGCTAATTTTTCTTCCTTTTCGTCTTACAATTAGTTTTGTTTACTGAGATTTTTTTTTCATTTTTAATTCGTGTTGAATTTATTAATTTACCCTTTAGGTTTTAAAATACTAAAGTACACTATATAAAATGTTTCCTCCTCGTTTCAGGGTCCAACGTGAAGGTGGCCAGGGTGAGAACCGATGAAGCGTCATCAAGCGGATCTAACAACGAACTAAGCACTCTTCTGCCGCCAGCACCCTTACTATCCGCATTTCTCAACTCTAGAAGGGACTACCCTCTGTCCATTTGTATGCCTGGGGAAGGAATTCGATTTGATAACTCTTCTCCCCACAGAACTAGACTGAAAAGAAACCGAGTTAATCGAAGGAGATCTAGTCAATTGGTGCGGAAAGAGCAGGCTATAGCAACGTCCCTTTCCGCAGGATATGGAACTCACAGTGCCAAGAATTTTAACGATACCAGTAATGGATCGGTCCATTGCTATATAGACGAACATGGCAATCTGATCACGTACACTTTCGATGAAAATGGAGTTGGTAAGTTTTATTGCACTGTTGACATTTTGTAACAAGGTATTGTCTGTCTACGATAAGTTTGCAATGACGTCACATTTAGTAATTGTTTGCAGCCAATAGAATAACCTAAATTCTGTATCGCATTAACTCCCGTATCAGTTAGAAAAGAGTATTTTTTTCAGGAACAGCCAACACACACACACAAGTTGAGGTAGGACCAAGTGACAAAGTAGCCGTCCGAGGACGTCAGGGTGAAACTGCGACGACGTCTAGAAGTAACAAAAACGTAGATTTCTGGGACAGTACTGACTCGATTTACAACAGTTCCGTCTCTACAATACTCGACGTGTCTGTTCGTAAGCCGAGGGTGCATACTGCTCCTAATTGTTCGAATATACACGCAGTTCAAGTGGCGAGACTACGACGAAATCACGCCCGTCCCTTGCGTATGAGAATGTTGGATCAGAATTTCGACCAAGTCAACATTGCCGACGACTGGCAGATGGACATAGTGAGACGTGAAAACGAAAACGAAGATTCGGCAGTGAGGAATCGGTTTAAGTTCATCCAAGCCGCGGATACGGTGAATAATAACTACCCTCGGACTAAGAGTTATTATAAATTCAGACTGTTCCCTTGGACGTTCGTTAAAGTGACTTTGGACCGGTTGAAATTGCTTGCGCTGCTAGATCGTAACTTGACTATGACTGAAACCATTTTGTCTATTATTTTGGGTATTCTGGTCTCGGTACTAGGTGCCGTTTTATTATATTCTGACTTTTATAAGGACTTGTTAGCTTTTATCCTTTGTTTTGTTATAGCTAGTTGTCAATATTCGTTACTTAAGAGTGTGCAACCCGACGCGGCTTCACCAACACACGGATTCAATCGAGTGATTGCGTATTCCCGGCCGGTTTATTTTTGTGTGTTCTCAATTTTAATCTTACTTCTCGATTATAATATCATACAAACTACAAGGTTACAGGGTTATAATTTGAACAATTTTAGTTTTTCCAGCCAACAAATCCTGTTAGTCGCTAGGGATTTTCTGGTTAAATTTATTTTACTTTTTCCCGTGTTGTTTTCCTTGGGATTGTTCCCGCAAATCAACACTTTCGTGATGTATCTCTTGGAACAAGTGGACATGCATATATTTGGGGGCAATGCGATGTCAAGTCTGATTGCTTCGTTTTACTGCATTTTTCGTTCTCTTTTAGCTGTGATAATATTAAACGGACTGGCCTACGGAGGCTTGAGTGAATCGAAAGGTTCACAGCACGTACTCTTCTCCATTTTCTGTGCCTGCTTGGTAGCTTGTTCGTACCACTTGAGTAGGAGCGCAAGCGATCCCTTACATATATGGAGCATCGTTAAGAGTCATCTGTGGCTTCCGGACGTCTACAGGGAACAAGAAACGGCTTACAGTGGATCCCGCAGGGAATCCGCTGAGGCTTGCGTCAAAGAAAAGCCTGAAAAATACATCGGTAAAGACAACAAAACTACTAAAGAAAGGACTGTTAAGTTTCCTTCGGAGGTGAAGGATAATAATGCCTCGGAGGAACACGTAGATCCCTTACCGTATAAATTACAGAAAACCGTCAATGCGCGATTGAAGAATGATGTAATCCTATGTTGCCTAATTGCTATTTTGGTGTTCAGTATTCACGCCAGCACGGTGTTTACAGTGTTACAGCCAGAATTGAGTCCGGTGCTTTGGTCCATGGCAGCAACGTTGGGATTTGTTCTGCATTATATTATACCGGAGATGAGGAAGTATTTGCCCTGGTTGTGTATCGCCAGACCTATTTTAAGGTCGCATGAACACGAACAGTACCAGATTCGAGGCCCCGCTAAGATCATGTGGTTCGAGAAGGTAAGGCCTTTTAAATGCCATTTGTAATATATTTGTACATGAGCTGCCTAAATATAGCTGCAGTACAGTAATCAGTTAATACAGTGTGTCCCAAAATGATGGAACAAAATTCATTTTTTTTTCTAGTCAAAATTTAAAAAAATCGCTGAAACAGGTCAGTTAGTAAATAGAAATTGTCACTTTTCTGCAATATTTTCAATTTTTTTGAGCCATATTTGACAAACCCATAACATTACTGACATTTTTTTTTTTTTTAATAGGACGCTCTATATTTTATTGTAACGATAGATAGCCCTTCTAAAGACGAATTCAGCGATACAACATTATACCTACTTTTTTGTCATGTCAAAAAATGGAGGAATTAAATGAAAACGATAATTTAGTACTACTTTTTATTTTATTATAGCAAACATTCAAAGTGGCCCCCATTAACCATTGCACAATGCCCAATTCGGTGTTCAAAGTTATCAATTACATTTTGAATAATATTTGGTGTCATGTTTCGAACTTCTTCTCTGATACGATTTTTCAATCCTTCGATAGTGTTCACATACTCAATGACCATTTTGTGACTTTTTGTTTGGGCAAGCTGAATTTATCACTATAGATGCTAAATATTATGTATCATAACACATTAGTTTCCACAGTCATAAAAATTGGGGGAAGATTGTCTTCAGGGTGGTCAATTGTATAATTTTCACGTAAATTCACGTTTTTCGCTTATAACTTTTTTCCGTTCATTGCCACAAGAAAACAGTAAAGTACTTTTTTTTCGTCTTCGAAAGACCTACAAAACTAGCCCTCGAGTGTCAAAAAGTATTGATTAGATCAAATGTTATAAACAAAAGAAGTTTATTTATGACTTTTGAATTAAACATTTATAAACTGCATTATTATTACCAGAACGTTTTGGCATTGCATCCTCTCCACGAAATCTGGAATCGGTAAGTTGAATAGTTTACAAGTTATGGCCTTATGAATAAATTAACTAATTATTAGTCTGAACGATCCTGAGGATCTTCCACAATCGCACTGATTTTTTTCATGGTAGATTTCATAATAATACTTTGAAATCTATCAGTTTTTAATAGTTATCTAATTGACTGATTTTTTTATTAGAAATATCCATTTTTCTCTTTATACCAGATGCTCAACACATGGCCCCGACGGTCTAAGTGAAAAATATTGCTAAATTTCATGAGGTCTTCTCTCTTAACTTTTCGATTATTAGTGTTGATTGAAATATTATACTTTTTGGCCCATCCGTTTCGAGAACTAACTAAATTACCAAGCCTCACGGCTTTTGTTATATACCTAAGCTACTCCGGTCCATTTTATGTGTTTATTATGTTTTTTTTTTGGGAAAAAATCTTTAAAGTAGAAAAAGATGAATAAAGAGTAGGTACATTTTTTAAAGTACAGAAGAGACTATGAGGGCTATCTATTTATACTATAAAATATAGAGAGAGCATCTTATTAAAAAAAAATGTCGGTAATATTATAGGTCTGTCAAAAATGGCCTAAAAAAATAGAAAATATTGCAAAAAAGTGACAATTTCTATTTACTAATTGACCTGTTTCAGCGATTTTCTAAAATCTGAACTGAAAAAAAAATATGAATTTTGTTCCATTATTTTGGGACACACTGTATAAGTACAAAATTTATAATAAAAAAAAAATCAAAACCAAATATATTACAACAATGAAAAATACAAAATTAAAACAAAAAATGTACAATTTAAGAAAATGAAATGTTTGCGAATAGTTCTTACATTACTTAACAGTTTTTTTTTTTTTTTGGTTTAAATGCAAATAAATATTAGGTTTAGGAATATTTTTTGACACTCGACTCGGTAGTTCAATCTGTTCAATCAATGAAACTCATTTATCTTTCTAACAGTAATGTTATTGTTTCAGGTTTACATATATTTTTGCTTTTTTGAAAGGAATGTCCTCTATCCGCTTCTGTTTCTGTCTGCCTTAACAGAGGACTCGCCGAAGATCAGCGCAAAGCATGGAGTCCTAAGTGCTTCCGTCATTATAGTCGTTTGCGGACTAAAGTGTCTAAGAAGTAGTTACTCTGACCAGAGTTCCCAGTACTTGATACTTATATTTTCAGCTTTATTTTTTAAATACGACTATAACTTCATACAGGAAACGTTTCTAGTCGAATACTTTTTTATGGGCATCGTTTTTCATAAATTTTACGAATTATTATTGAAGGTAAGTACATAAAACTGAATTTGCTATGATAACTATGAAAATGGGAATAATATAGAAGAAATTGTTTTAAGAAGTTTGATTCTAAAAAATCATCTTTGATGTCCTGTTCCTTAAAAACGAAAAAAAAAAATACCAGTGAGCTTATGGCAGCTTTTTCAAAGCATCTTGTATAATTAAGTTGAAATTTCCTTTACACTATTTTAAAACTTTATTTAAAAACAATTTCCAAATTAATAATGACTAAATATGTTAATCGTTTTCTGCAGATCTCGTACTTTTTATTTTTAGGTGCAGTTTGTCGTTACTTACATAGCACCTTGGCAGATAACATGGGGATCAGCATTCCACGCCTTTGCTCAGCCTTTCTCCGTACCACATTCCGCAATGCTATTCCTCCAGGCACTCATATCCGCAGTACTCTCCACACCTTTAAACCCTTTTTTAGGCAGCGCGATCTTTCTCACATCTTACGTAAGGCCTGTAAAATTCTGGGAACGTGACTATAACACTAGGAGAGTGGACCACTCGAACACTCCTCTCTCCTCCCACCTGGATAGGAACCTTGGAGCTGACGATAATAACCTAAATTCGATTTTCTACGAACATCTTACGAGGTCTCTACAACATTCTTTATGTGGCGATTTGAAACTCGGGAGGTGGGGTCCGGTGAACCAAGGCGATTGTTTCGTGTTAGCCTCCGACTACTTGAACTGTCTGGTACACGTTATCGAAATGGGGAACGATCTAGTTACTTTTCAGATGAGGGGACTCGAGTTCCGAGGCACTTACTGCCAGCAGAGGGAGGTGGAAGCTATCACTGAGGGAGTTGATGAAAATGATGGTAACATTTTTTTAATTTTTGAAAATAAAAAAATCATTATTCTTCTATGGTTGAATGATTCCCGGGCTGGTTGCTATGTCGTCGAATTACAACTCTTGATGTTTCCAGAGACATATTGTACTCTTCTTCAAAAGTCAATATGAAACTACTGTCCGACTGCAGTTCAAACAATTTCAATGGGACGGTGGCGTGGTTCTGCCAGGTATATGGAAGAGAGTCATCCGTGAAAGCAACCCATGTCAACAAGGCGTACGAGGTCACCCACCGGAACGTCATGGATCAGTGACCACAGTTTCAGAGTGACTTCTGAAGAAGAGAGCAATATGTGTCTCGAAATGTCAAAGAGTTGTAAATTGACGACGTGGCAACCAGCCCGAAAATCATTCGACCATTAACAACAGCTACGGAAGCCTACAAACAAAACTGAATTATTCTTTTAGGTTGTTGTTGCTGTGATACAGGTAGATTACCAAATATGTTGGGCATAAATGCTGCATTCACTCAGAGATGGCTGGCTTGGGAAGTTACTGCTGCTAAATATATATTGGAGGGGTACAGCATTTCTGATAATAGTGCAGTGTCCATGCTCCAAGTTTTTGAATTTAGAAAAGTTTTGGTGTCCTATTACGTGAAGGTAATTTTTTTCTCTAGAATCGTAAACACAGTGTGTTGCAGTGGTATACGGAACTAGCTTAGATTTTTCAAGGTTAAAATAAGAACGTATTTGAACAACACTATTCGTTTTCAGAGTATTATTTTTTATACGGTAAGATCACCGAAACTGGAGGAGTGGTTATCTAACCAGATAATTTTGAAAGCCCTGAAGCCTATGGAGCACAGGAATTTTGTGGATCTAGATCCAGTTTTCAACTACAATATAGATGAGGATTTTGATGTCCAAAGCAGTGGCATGACACGTAATATGTTCGTGCAGGTCCATGGGGACTGGATAACTTACTGTGTCGAAAAGAGCGAGAAGAATATTGAATCTGGAATTAATTCACCTCTAGTCTTATTGTGTTTTGCTTTAAGTTTATTAGGTAAATCTTACTTCGTGTGTTATTTCTGGAACATGCACATTAAACTGTGAAACTTCGTTTTAGGTAGGAGAACCTTAGGAGCGGTTTCACACAACACTGTCTCCAGTGTAGAATTTTTTCTTTACGGTCTACACGCTTTGTTTAAAGGGGATTTTCGAATAACTTGTGCTAGAGACGAGTGGGTTTTCACCGACATGGACCTTTTAAAGACTGTCGTGGCACCTGGAGTAAGGATGTCGCTAAAGCTGCATCAAGACCACTTCATGTCGCCCGATGAATACGAAGAATTGCCTGCTCTTTACGAAGCCATCTGTAAGCACGAGGAGGAGCTTGTGATATCTCATGAAGGCGATCCCGCTTGGAGAAGTGCCGTACTTAGTGGTATGCCTAGTCTTCTGGCCTTAAGGTTCGTTACTTGTCTAATTTTTTCAATATTTAAGAGCAATTGATACAGTGTGGTTGTCTTAAATATTTAATATTTTTTAATTGTGTTTTTTTTAGGCATGTATTAGATGACGGAACTGACGAATATAAAATTATCATGTTAAACAAAAGGTACCTGAGCTTTCGTGTGATAAAAGTAAACAAAGAGTGCGTTCGCGGTTTATGGGCAGGACAGCAACAAGAACTGGTATATTTACGAAATAGGAATCCGGAAAGAGGAAGCATCCAGAATGCAAGACAGGCTTTAAGAAATATAATAAATTCCTCATGTGATCAACCGATTGGTTACCCGATTTATGTGTCCCCTTTGACCACTAGCTATGCGGAAACTAATGAGCAATACTGCAGTCTGGTTGGGGGATCCATCAGTTTAACGAAGATTAGGAATTATATTTTTAATTTATTTCGAAGGTTTGTTTCATTCGAATAATTTATACCATTTTATAAGTATTTTATCATCAACCTAAATATTGTATAAAAACGGGCTATCATAATAAATCTTTTTTCGATACATGATACTTTTAAATATTTTTGGTGGCAATCTAGAATCTCTGGTTCATAAAAAATTAATACTTAGGAAACATTTAAATCTTTTAATTTTATAGATTGAATATGGGACTATCAAAATACCTAATTTACTTCGATTATACAAAAGTTTTTATCTGTTTTTCATTTAATTTAGGATTCGGAAGAGATGCGGTGAGGGTTGTTCAAGTGGGGCTGTGAACAGAGAAGAGATTGGCATGGGTCATGAGGGTGTTTATGCTATGACTCCTATTTCCACCCTTGCCCATCATGCCGGTAGTCAGTCAACGGATGGTTCTCATCTAGGAGGAAGCATCGGAAGAGGTTCCAGTTTGAGCAGAACATCTTTGGGTAAGACAATATTTTGTTGTTTCCACCATGTTACTTTTGAAAATATTTTGTTGTACAGAGTGATCAGCTGTTTTTCGAGGCTAGATAGTCGCAGGAATATGATCCAACATGGGTGACATTTTTGTTCAATAATTCTATCTACATTTAGTAGTTTTGTAGATAATTTGGGATGTATTTTGTGTATTTTCGTTAACTTTGAGTATTATTTGTTACATTTAAAACACAGGATATCCAGGAACCATACACGATCTAAACCAACTCGACTCTATACAGGGTGATTCAAAATTCAGTACAAAGAATTTAGGGGCGTATTTTTGAGGTCAAAATAAGACTTTTTTCCTATAAACGTGGGCCCACAAATGCTTAGTTTTCGATATACAAAACGTAAGTTTTTTATTTTTTAACTAATAATTTTTAAAAAAATTCAAATTTGCAACAAAATTTTTTTGGTTCCACATGTCATAAAACCCCTGTGTACCAAATTTAGTAATTCTCGTACAACAGGGTTCTGAGATATATAAAAGACTATTCTTAGGGACAGATTTCAGGGGGCTGTAACACCGAAGAGGGGGCTACTTGGCAAAAAGAAAAAAATACAGTCCTAAATTTGTCTTAAGAATCCATGACCAAATTTTGTTGCATTAATTTCCGGACACCCTGTATAGTTCATATTTTGATCCATTTTTTTGTTTTTTTTTTATTTTGATAATGATTTTTTAAGGTGGCAACAGGGGTAGTTTAGTCTCGATGGGAAAACCTACCAGTTCAACGTTAGCCAGTTTAGCCGGCCTCTTCAGGGAGCGCGACGACAGGGCAGTGTCACAGGCCCCGGATGCACAAGCGAGAGCAGATGAAAGATTAGGGGATATAAACGATACCGAGAAGGAGTTTGTGTCTTCAAGAGTCAGAGTAAGTTCATAATTTACATGGATTAATGGTGAAATTTATTTATTTTTGTTTTTGTTAAGATAATTGATCCAAATTTAGTATATGACGCTATTAATCTTGGAAGAAGAATAGACGTATCGTGGCCGACGGAGTATATGAGGATTAGAGGAGGGAGAACGCATTGGAAGGATTGGGTTCCCGAGACTGGTATGGAAGGACCGGTAAGTCGTTTGCAATTTCATGCCCATTATTATAAAATGTGATATACAGTGTGGCCTTTACAATCTTCTGATAAGTCGAAAGGAATCGTTTCTTTCAAGTATAATTAGGAATCAAATGAATGAAGTACAAAATTATGACTTGTGGAAATAAACGAAGCGAATAAACTAAACAAAAATGTAAAAAAAAAATAATTTTGAAAATTTTTTTGCAAAATGTCAACAAATATCATACACAACAGTTAGTTAATAGTGCCGGTTTCTGTCATTTACGATTAGAGTCTGACAAACTGACTAAGCCTCTGTAATGGTGTCACGATAACAATGAGGCATCATTGCGAAGCTTTATATGAGGGTTGTCCGTAAAATAAGGTTCCCAGTTATTTTTCACAATGAAGAACGTGTTTATTGGTATTGAATAATACATGGAAATGTGGAAAGCTTAGACTTTTACCTATTTTTCTACATAATGAACATTGAGATCGATGCATTTTTGCATTTTTTGCATACGATATACCATTTTTTGTATGCCTGCATGGTAGAACTCTCCCGCCGCGCCACAAAGGTAGCTTAAAGCATCTTCTTTCAGGTTCTCTCCGATTGCGAAATGAAAGAAGTGGTTTTAAGCTGCGTTCGTGGCACGGCGGGAGAGTTCTACCATGCAAGCATACAAAAGATGGTATACCGCATACAAAAATGCATCGATTTCAATGGCGATTCAGTAGAAAAATAGATAAAAGACTAAGCTTTCCACATACGTATTATTTAATGCCAATAAACACGTTTTTCATTGTGAAAATTAACTGGTAACCGTATTTTACGGACAACCCTCGTATTATTTCTAAGTGTAAATAGTTGAACAATTTCATGGATATAACATAGAAGGATTTGATCTTCACTTTTAAACTTTTATCTGAAGACAGCGATGTGTCTCTTGAAACACGAAAAGTCAAAACTAAGAACATGGAAACCAGCCCAGAAATTGTTGAAAACTGCCAGATGAACCTACAAACTAAGATACAGGCATTTCACTATACATGTTATTTTTCTTTCAGGTAGTGCACAAATGGGTCCCTTGCCACAAAGACCCAAACAAAAGATCTCACGTAGACCGAACCATATTATTAGTACAGATCGACGACAAATTTGTTCCTATCGCAGAAAGCGGTGTCCAAGATTTGGGCCCTGAAGTATAACATTTACTTCCCCGTGCAAACCTAGTAGATAATTGGTTTGAGCACAGATTCATAGACTTACGGGATAGGAGTAATTATTTTTTCAATTACCCCCTCTATGGTAATTACTAAGACTTAATTGTAGTTTGTAATTTTTATAGTTGATTTATGGTTCCGTTATTGTTTCGTTTATCAAAACCTCCAAAATCAAAATATGTTAAGGTGATTTTCTCAATAAAACAAGCATCTGAAACTACCTTAATCCCTGCAGTAAAAGTCAAATATTTATTTTAATTTCTAAATAGACTCCTTTTGTGATGGTCTCGTAAGTAAATTTTAATATTTTTCAATTTTGTTAAACTGCTTTAATGTTATTATTGTAAATAAGGTATATTTTAACATGCTTTTCTTGTTTGCAAATATTTTAACACTTAATTGTATACTGAAGTTTTTATACTGTCCCCTATTTGCCATTTTTTTTACTCTTATCTTTTAATGTTAGTCAATTCGTAGTAAAAATATGGATTACATTGAAAGGAAAACAAATTACCAAATTGAATGTACGTTTTGAGTACCTTAGCTACTATTACAATATTTTGATGATCACCATTTTCTCATACGACTAAACAATACGTGAAGGTCACTTCCATTAGGGACTGATTTTATTTTCAGTTAAAATAGGGTCAAATAATTTGGCTGGCGGATTTCATTTATAAATTAACCCGCTGTCCCTACTGAGTGTCTATATTGTGGTTTAACACATGTTTTTTCTACCGGCTATAAAATGTCGTATGTAAACAAATTTATATTTCAGCGTGTTTTTATTTATTCAAGGTATTTTCTAGATTCTCGTGAAAATTATAAACTCTTTTAAACAAATGAATAACTTCAGACAACTCCTTTAACTTTGAAGATGAGAGGGAAATATATTTTTAGACGTTCTGCCGAGCTAAGGCATAAAAGTATAAAAAGTTTGTGAATAAGAAACACCATATTTTTGAAATTATTATCCAAATTCAGATATATAGTAATAAATCCCAACAATCACAGTTTTTATTAGAGATGGGCACTTTTCGGAAAAGTGTTACGGACATGTCGATGAAATGTCCGGACATATCAGGAAAAGTACCTTTGATCTTGAATCTAATAGGGCACTTATGAGTGACGTAATGTTTTCATAGGTCATTGCTTGCGGGTACACAAAGCAAAATTTTATTTTTAATATGTGTCGATATATTTTACTTATTACCTACCTTTAGACTTTTTTATAAACTGGTTTCTAATTTTCCACGGACAGCCAATACACTTATTTAAATGTTTTTCCATCGTACTGGAATTCTTAACAATTGTTTTTGAGCAGAAGTTACATTTATAATGCTTTTTACTCAATTCAGAAAAATATAACCAAACTGGCGTCATACTTCATTTATAAACTATTTCTCTATTAAATATTAAATTAAGAATCAACTGACTACTATTTACTAATCGTTAACTTTGCCAAAAATATGGACATATAAAAGAGGTTATATTTTTAAAATATTTCTGTCAAACAATTACCAACAGAATTACAATAAAATGACTAAATATCTTTAATTTTACATGTACCAACCTCAAAAATTTTTTGTGGAAATTATGAATGCAAGTAATTCCGTGCATGCACATACAACTTTTCAATCTTGAAAAGTGCCCTCAGAACATGTCCACTTTTCACGACATGTCCGATAGACATGTCCAGCTGACATGTCCGTGACACATCCCTATTTTTTATGTTAAATTAAAATCAGTTGAGCCTAATTCTTCTAGAAAGCTGATTTGCTTATTTGGTTCTCTTTTATACCAATCCAATTTTTAAATGATTTGTTAATCTCGGATCTTAAAGGTGACAATAATTGTCCCAATACAAATGTAAATTTGATTTTCGTTTACTTAAACTCCCTTATATGTTCAGGAAGGAGGGGGGGCAATTGTTTACTTTATAATGATCGATACATTCCAAGAAAAAGTCAGCGACTGGCACATATTGACTTAATGTTTTCAAATTAAACTGTTAACGGTACATAATGTTAACACAATGTAAAATAATTTAAATGACTAAAATGATATTACTATATATGTACATAATAGGCTTCTTATATATTTATGAATTGTTACATGGTTGCCTTAATAATGATAATAGACTGATTTTTTAAGTGTTATTTAGTTACTTTTACAAGCTTTCTGTTTTGTAATTATTTATTAATTGTTTTATTCTCTAAATGTTAAACGGGTCTATTTACTTCTTTTTCAGAAAATATTAGATATTTCGTATTATAGTAAATCAAAAATTTATATTCCATTATCTACAGTCCATTTTATCAATTTATTCGTGAAATTTATTATTTTTTTGCTGTCAATACACATATTTCATTATCGTTTATGTTTATGGGAAAAACCTTTGTTATAAAAAATTTTTCAAAAATATTTTGCATTTTAGAACCATTTTTTTTTCAAAAAGACTACAAGAGGATTGAAATAAATTAATAACTATTATACCCATATTTCCAGAAGAGTTGCTAGTAGTGGTTTCATGATGACACTAGACAAGATCTGTTCTATATGGTTTTGTATAATAGATACAAATATTTGGAAAATTTTATATAACGTTCCTAGGATTTCCTTAAATTCATACATTGTGGATGCTTATATTGTCAATAATTTTTACGAAATAAGTCTTCTTGTAGATAATGGAATATGTATTTATAAAGAGTGTTCTGGAAATAAGTGCAAACAAATTAAAGGGAATTTACTTATAAAAAATGATACAACTCCCTATAACACTTTCAAAAATTCAATATTCACGAAATTACATCACCTAGGAGAATTTTTTTTAATTAATATTTTTTTCCAGCGACTGTTTTCAAATTTGATACACTTGTTATTGGTAACAACCTGCATTTACGAAAATGGAATTATTAAAAATTGTGAAACCCTAAACTAAGCTCTAAGTCCCATACAAGAGGTTCCTTTGTTTCAAGTCGATAACAGTAACAGTTTTTGAGAAAAAGTAATGTCAAATTATATAACCTTGTCTTTCATATCAAAAATATTCGATTTTGAATTTAATATTTCGACGCAACTCTAAAAAAGTTAAAATTACCTATTTTGTGGAATAAGTGAAGGATTTAATCATAATTGAAAAAAAAAATACAAATTTGAATCTGTACAATAAATTATTTTATAATATAAATGTGATAACGTTATTTTTTATGTAATAATTAATTTGTTGTAATAATTCTTTAGTGTTTATTAAGGTAAGGGGTGAATATATCTTGTATCGCACTTTTATATTTGCGATAAAATTTCAATGACTCATTATGTGTAAAAACTACAACTTAGTCATGTTTTTATTGTTTTTGAAGTTTTTTGTAGGTTTGAACTCCGTGGAAAATGCTTTCCTAACGTTTGGTAAAGATGTACGGGTTAATCGTTACTTTTAGCAATAGGTCCAGTTCATTTTTGTCAAACATTAGGTTATCATTTTCTCTTAGAAGGCGATAGCTCTGATGTCATCAGAAACTGTAGAAAAATTACAAAGTTACAGTCTTGGCAAATACGAAAGTGTGTATAAACATGTTAATATTGTGTTTTCGAAAAAGTGTCATAGTGTCATGCCATTATTTGTATAAGTAAATCACAATGCAAAGTTTTTGCACTTATTTTCAGAACACCCTATATAATTTATTAAGCAGTTTTTTGCAGATTTGGATCTGGATTTACATCTGTAAGAACTAAAATAATATTGATACTTTTTAATGAAAAAAATTGTATTTTTGCCAAAATTAACTATTTCTCTGTTATCGTAGGTGTTCTAATAGATGTAAAAACAGACATCGTTTTTTTCCCTTTTTTGTATATATTATATCCTTTTAACGTCCCACAATGTACGAGGGAAATTGTTATTGCTGAATGTAGATATATTTTATATGTAGGTGTTATATAATGTAAAAAATGATTTTCCTTTTTATATGAATATTAGCTTCAGTTAATCATTGTACATAAAATTTTAAATAATACAAAAACAATAAAATTTATCTATTTGTAATATTTGTTTCGTTGTCCCTTTAGGCCTTCTACTGATATGCGACAAGGTAAGGTGCAGCGGCAAACTTGCGGTTCAAAAATACATCTTGCATGTGCTTAACATTACCGAGAAATTGCTGCCCGCAATTATGGTCTACACAAGATTCTTATAGATGCAGTACTGTAGGTTCTTTCACGTGTATTTATCGCAACATTTTCTCTAAGCGAATGGAGGGTGGTCACGAGAAGGAAAGAAGTATATACTTTATTCTTTATCCCATAAGTTCCTGGGAATAAAACTGAAACGTTTTAAAAACTAAGTTAAATTCAGGGTGAGTCCTTAGTTGTTTATAGCATTTATAAATATTTTTTCAAATATTATTTTTCAAAAAACTTAAAATCTACTGTACATCTGTAACGGGTCTCGTACTGTTGTTAATCAAAATGTTGCGTTAATGGGAATAAAAATATTTTGAAATTAAAAAAATGTCGGAAGGTCTTAGGAACGGTGGGGACAATTAGAACAATTTTAAATTATATCATACTTATATTATCACACATATACACAGAAGTAAGAATATTTTTGTAATTCCAAAAATCACGGTGTAAAAAAATCAACATAAAAAAAAATTACTTATGAAATTAATTACTTTCTTAATTAAATAAAACACGTACAAGAAATATAAGTAAATATATGTGGCACAAATATACTAACAATTACATTTCATAAATTTTCAAAATCGACATAGAAATAGTGCCAATGTGAATATCTTTGTACTTTTGTGAATTAAAGGTAAATATCAAATATCATTTAAAAACATGTATCAAAAAAGTTACAAAGAGAAACTAAATAGTAGATTCTTCTAAAACTCTATGTGTCGGTGTATTAGTTACATACAAGGCCACTTTAAACTGTTTTCATTCTAGACACATAGCACATTAAAGTACAGGTTATCTATCATATTTAAACTTCGGGGTTTGTTATCTCGGTTATAAACTTTTAAGATAAAAAAATGGTAAATACAGATGTAGATATTTTTAAATTTAATGTTTTCAAAAAAATAAAAACAAAAACGTTATTTATGATTTTCTTAAATCGAACACCATAAATATTTTGTTAAAATGCTTTAATAGGATAATACGCGATATATGCACAAGAGTATGAGTGTGACGAGACGCAATTTCTTTCTAACACATGTTTACAACACTCTTGGTCATATTTTCTTTATTGTAAGAGAGATCCATTAAAATTCGCTGTAATCTTATGATTTTTTGAAACTTATGCTCAAGATTTTTGAAAACAATAAAAAATTCAGAATGTACCTATAATTTTTGTATTCACCATTCACCTTAAAAAACCGATAACCGAGATAGTTCTTCAGGCAAAATGCAATAGACGACGCTGTACGTACACATAAATAGGGCAGATTTCTATCAATGTTATATTTAATATCTATAACATGTGGAAACAATAAATAGGAGTGTTGATTTTAAGGCAAACAGTTGGTTAACGACGTAATGCGATAGCGGATGGGGTCTTAAAAGACTGTCCACTGAAGGACGGCAGTGTCTTTACCTCCAACCGAGACTAACCTAGTGTCGTCATGTAAGAAGCTGACGGCTGTCACGTGGCTGCTATGACCTCCATAGGTGTGGCACAGAGACTAAAAAAGTTATAAATATATGTTTAGAATGTAGTAAATTGGTTCCTACATAAAAATTTAAAATAACACTGGCAGGTCTGCTCCGCTTTTACATTCGAGTTTAGATTGAGATTTGCTTTCCAAAAAGCCTTTCTAATAAATTAGCTTCTTCTGTCTTGCAATTGTTACAGTTGATCTAAGTTGTGATTAGTCCTCGCAAAAGTAAATTTTTTCCTGTATTGATCACGTTCACAGACTGGTTTTAATGGTTCTTTGACGTCGCCTCCCCAATGTTCTATATCACTCTCTCTTGACCGACAAAGGGCGTTAGTATTTTTTGGATCGCCAAGCTTTTATGGGTGCATATAAATTTCGCTGACAAAGTTTACCTCGGATGTTCAGAAAAAAGTAATATGTACCCTTGAATGGTTTGTATGCATTAGGACGTAATTTCACAAAATATTTTGATTAAACTCACATATATGGGTGATTTTATTTATGATGGTTCATCTATTCACACGAATCTGAACGTGTCAAAATAAACAGGAAATACTTTCACATACACAGTCTGGCTATTAAGTTTTACGGCTGACTTTATTGCGGCGATGTACATGGCGCTATCTATGTGCAGTCAACGGAACTACATAGTACTCCGAGCAACCGCACAAAATTTTATCAATATATCTACTACGAAATTATAATGTTTTGCGTAAAACGAGTTTTTGATAGTTGTCATAGAAATGCACATTGAATAGCGTATGTATAGCTCGAGTCCCGTTTTAAAACCAGTAAAACAGCCATGGAAACGTATGAACTGTATGATGAGGAATGTGTATCATGCCCGACTGTGTTTCTGTGGTTTGGGAGGTTTCGTATTGGCCGAGACAGCATGCACGACGACGAGAGGATGGGGCGTCCCCACACAAGCCAAACGAACGAAAACATTGAAACTGTGCGCTCTGCGCCAATGTCTGATCGTCAGTTTTCTATTACAAGAGTATAATTAAACCATACATACCTTAGTCTGGATGACAGGGTAAGAGAACAATTTCACTTTCCCAAAATCATCGCCAGTTGCCATTAGCTGCGTATCGTGGCTGCGATCACAAGTATTAACATCCGTGCCGTCAGCATTCTCGGGCCAAATTCCGACTGTTGTAAACGTCAACGTGCAGGTATTATTTGCCCATTCCACGTCCCTCATTATGCTGCTTTGAGGTATTTGTCGACAAGTACCAGCATTCCCTGTCAGCAATAAGAAAAATTACTAATACCTTCGACATTACAAGACAATTATACTTACAGTATAGTAATTCGTAATCTCCAGAATTGCTTCTGATCGTTTGGCTATCATTAGCCCAATCAATGTGAGTTACGTAACTAGAATGACCCTAAAATTACAGTTAATTATTAGAGACTGTAAAAAAGTCATTATATGCACTTACGGTGCATCTGCCGACTCTGCTATACTTCGATCCGTCTTCAGACACCTGATAGATATAAAGCTGGTTATCGCGTGAACCCAATGCAACCATTGCACCGTCGGGAGAGAACTGGATCACCTGGATGGGTTCATTACCGTCCACATGTTGTCCTAGGAGATCTCTCGTTTGTGAATCGAAAATCATCCACCTTCCGTTTGTGCAACCGACTAGTATGCAGGTTCCGTCTGTTGAAAAGGCCACACTTTGTGCTTGTTCCTATAGAATGAGCAAATGATGGTTAATATGAACATCTATAAAATCGTGGGCGTTATTTCAAGAATTGGGATGAACAACAGAAACATGAAACAATATTTCTGCTAGATATGAACGAAGTAGTGATTCAAAGCCAAAAATTCACTGCTCTTAACAGAAGTGTGCCCAGACAATACGAATAAACGCCAAAAAGCATGGCAGCGAGATACGACAATCGCCTCGTCAAGGAAGCCGTGACCCAATACGGCAGACAAACACAAACGACCTAGACACCAACTCTTTGACCCGGGGTAAAAATACCAAATGTTAATGTAAATTATAACTCGCGTATTCATTTAATATCGAGGGCTTCATAACAAAGGGGCGTATCAACCAAATTACAATTTATAACAGGCTTATGTTCATACGCCTCTACGTCATGTTCGGGAGATGTAAAATGGTTCATATACAATTAATATAATAACACCAATAAAATTTTAATTATTGTCAATACCGATACACTGGACTAAGGAACTATGCTCCACCCTTTTGGTGGCTTATACGCACGAAAATACAATTTTCATGATTTAGGTTCATACGTCCCTCTGTTGTGATTCGAATATGTTGTTTTCTGGTTTGCTAAATAATTCCCTAAAAGTTAGTGAAAATAAATTTATTGTAAGAAGACGTATCCACACTTTGTAACTTTCCCAAATTAGTTTCAGCGACATCTTAATTCATTATATTTATACCTATTATGAAGTAAAAAATGTATGTTAACTTACCCCGATATCTTTACTCCAAAGAATGCTGTGCGACATTGAATCCCATAGCTGTAATACTTTATCATATCCACCCGTTACGAATTGGGGGACACTAGGATGCGGAGCCAAGCCCCATAGTTCATCTGTGTGCCCTAAAATAATAGGCTGAAACCCAAGCTGAGATGTGCCGTTTAAGATACAATTCCGGGTCGTGCCAACTAGGAGTTGTGAACCTCTGCCTTCGGATATCACACGTATGCCACCAAAATGACCTTCAATCTGAAATGTTAGAAATTAAATTAGCCGTCATATTCTCCGATACAACTTTTATTAAATGCTTACCTGGCTTACAACACCAGTCATCGCCAAACTGTAGCTGAACTCCACAATCCTACCGTCTTTTCCACCTCCGGTCAGAACGCTGCCATCTTTAAGAACGCATATCGTGAATATAGGTCCTTCGTGAACATTTTTTATGAATTTCCATATGGTATTGGTACCTCGCCCCCATATAGCAAGGTTCCCGTTGGAATCACCAGTTATCGTTTCGCCCGTTTGAAGGAACGCAACGCAAGTGACATATTTCGGTTTATCTCGAGTTTCAAAGATTCCCATTCTCTTGTACAAAGTCCCTCCCACGTCCAAAGACCAGAAAGCGATATGACTCTTCCCGCAAGTGACGATGGTGTTTCTGTCTAGTGGATGGAACTCGGCTGCTACTATTGTATCCACTGAACACTAAAATCATTACAATAGATAATTAGTGAAGGTGAATTTCCAAGTTGGGTGAGCTATTACTTTAGTTTCAGTTATTTTATACCCATTTTCCCCTTTCTGCCAGTCCCATACGGAAATATTATGATCAGTCGCTTCATCTATGGCTAATAAAAGAGACCCCCCGTCTGCTTTACTGAATGAGAGACAACAGACGGCCAGATCGAAGTCGTTCATCCCAATGACGGCCTGAGTATGAAGAGAAACAGAATTCCATACTCTTATATGGGGCTAAAAGGTAAGTAGTGATTAGAAAATAGGTACATGTTTGCAAATTTATACAAAATTACCCTTGCGTCTCTCCTATCGTGGCCTGCACATTGGCCTGTGGCCACTAACATTTTGTTGGGATGTATTGCGAGACTAAAACAATGTAATTTTTAGGTAAATGAAAAAATATACACAGGATGGTAGTAGACACCTTCTAATAATAGAAAGAATTCTTTAAGACTGTTTTAACTTTGATACGAACCAACCTGTGTACGCTTATTCTCGAAAATGTTGGTGAAGTACATTAATTTTTTTTTTCATTTTAAAATTCCTTCAGGTTAAATTATATTTAATACAAACAACAAAATTGTAACAGCTTATGAGAAATATTAAATCATAGGATAATTTTCTTGTCTGGAAAATTAAAATTACGGGTCTAATTATGTAAAATTGCTATCAACTAATATGTAAAATGGTATTAAGTCGTGTAAAGCCAACCTTGGTCACAAAATGTTATTTTTAAAAATAATTACCTCAATTGCAAATAATTAATTAAGGCAGAACAATTCACTACCTGTAGCCTTCAAGGAAAAATAAGACACCTTTTACTAGATACCTACATAAACACATTGTGAAAAATCAATGTTAATTCAATTACATGCATAGGTTCTGTAAAATGACAAATAACTTCCCATTACATACAAGTCGATTTCCAACTCCTATTTCACAAACGGTAGTTTATAAATGAAATTAAATAGTAAACAATAAAAACAATAAAACTGCCATACTGAATTTCAATTAACATTTTCTATAAAGAAAATTTTTCAGGTACGAACGATAGATTCTCTTCAATGAAATTATAGATATGCAGGTGTTACCTTTTAACATCATCAGTGTGTTCTACGTAGTGCCTCTGGTTTTGCTCTTCAACGTTGTATAAAACTACAACGGCAGCAACAAAGTATACCATCTCTCCTGTAGGCAGGAAATATAAATTTGATCGGCAGTCTCTCCCCCTGTACCCGTAAACCCAGTCCAGTTTCAGTTTTCTTGAGGGAGCCGTACTAACTTTGGTGATCTCATAGTTTTCGGATAACTCCGTGGGGGCATACAAGATGATCGGGCGACCCTTGAGGAATATCTTGATGGTTTTATCTTCTTCATTGTAGGTGGCGTCTTTTGTCCTACAAATATAAAGAGGATTAGGGTTTTATACAAAATTCAATTTTTGCAGAAACTTATTTATGAATTCCAGATCAAAAAAGAGCGGTTTCAAATTTATATAAGAAAAAATTTTAAAATAATTAAAACATGCCCAAATAAATAAACAAAAACCGAAATAATTCATACAGTTTTTCAGATTATCCAGTAATCCTGAAACTTCCTATAAGAACAGGACAACATAAAATACCTATATTACACTTATATACAAAATGGGATAAAAATGCAAAGAACTAAAAAATAAAATACACTTGCGTGAAGGTAAAAAATTAAAACATTTTTGCATAATCATGTACATATATGTACAGTATTAAACTAAAACAGTTTTTTTAATCCAAAACCCCTTTTCTAACTCCTGGATTTAATTTGTTTTATTATTTTATTAAAGCTTTACAAAAATTCAAGTTTCTTGACCAAACTTTGACATGACATAATAATAATAAAATATGTAAAAGCTTTGTACTGTGTAAAACCAGTGAAAAGTATTAAAAAAGGGTGTGCAGCATTACTTTGCACTGGATATTCTTAATTCTTAAAACAATAAGCACTTTCTTCACTTCCATATTTTCAAAAAAAAAAAATGTAAATCGATAATATACATATAGAAATATTATTCAAATGAGACATATAATTGTAATATTAATATTGAAATGACCTAGTTATGAACCTTATAAAATATGCACTACCTACTTCCACTTATCGTTATAGTTCCAACATGCGAGGCGATAATTAAGGTAAAAAAAATTGATTCTAGCTGGTTCCAATATTTTTTCGTTCTTGTGAAGGTAAAAATTGAAGCATAAAATAGTCAAAGGTAAAATTTTATAATATTAAGAAACATCGGAACATTAAAATTTAAGAAAAGCTTCATTAAAACAAATAGAAAACGAGAGTAACATTTTTTATTCTCGAAAAACTAACCAGTGGTGAGTTTTGAGGTGTTTCACAGTTCACAAAACAGTCCAAAAACCACAATATTATTCAACAGTGCACTCAGTGCAGTAGACCAAAAATAAAAGCAGGTTTAATTTTGCCCAAATCCTTGAAACAAAATTTAGTTATTTAATTATGGAAATATGGAAATTGTGGAATTTATCTTCCATTATTCAAATAAGAAACTCGAAGATACCTCGAAGAAATTTTATACTTTGTATAAAAAGTTCACCAAAATATTCGTATACTTGCGAAACTACGCCGCAACTAAAAAAAATTTGGAAATATTGATTTTAACTTCTCGTATTTTGTAACGACAGGTGAAAAATTACGTGGCCATTTTTTTTATAAATAGGCATCGTCTTTTAGATGATTTATAGGCCCATAAAGAAAACTTCCATGATAAAAAATTTTCTAATGGAATTTGCAAAATAAGAAATTAAAATAGAAGAAAAATATTTTTTTCCACATGGAGCTAATAAATATAATTATTTTTTTATCTCTCGCAAAATTTTCTTAAGTTACAACATAATGAATTTTGGAAAATGGGAAGAGTTAGCATCAAATTAAAATTTAAATAGGTACTTATAACTACGAATGAAATTTAATTCTGTGAAAAATAAAAGTAATATGTACCTAATTGTATTGTCAGAACAACAATATTTTGCACCAACAATATTTTGTACATACAGGTTCGGAAAGTTCCGATGGTCCATCTGCCGTTACGCGGAGCGATAAAGTAAGACATATAAATTCATGCGATAGAGAAGGATGGCTATAATGAAGGCGTCTCATAGTCAGCGCCCGTTTCGCCCTTCCACAAATAAGAAGCGGATCTTATTTGTGGAAGGGCGAAATGCTTTGAGAGATCTCAGAGTGGGCACCTATTACTTCAATTTCTTATTTGGCAAATGTCATTGACATTTTTTCATCATAAAAGTTCTTTTTACGGACCCAAAAATATTTTATAAAATTGTGTTAACTAACGATTCGCTGACTTGCACAATATTTTGTAGACACTGACTTACAAGAGACAATAAAGAATTAACTGCTTTTGGTCAGATGTAAATATCTCAATCCTGTCTTTCGAAAAACGCAATCGATATTTTTCGAAAATCGAAAATTCATCGTACAACAAAAAGTAATCGATAAATCAAAAAATGGATTATTTTGCCGAATTCAGAATGAAAAAAATACAAATATAAATAAAACTTTATTGATACTGACTGAGTGGTTGCAAGGATATTAAGGCATACGGCAGACATACATACTAGGATGTAGGTATTTTTAGAGGTCGCTCGAAAACATTTTAGGTACCTACACTACTTTTAAAGTTAAAATAATTATGAGTGACCTTTAGAAATTAAAATATCCATCTGAAATTTTCAGAATCGAGAGTTTTTCAACCTAGAAAATGACAAAATAATGAGAAAAAAAATCAATTTTTGACGATTTTGGAAACTTTTAAAAATCTTCAGCGACCTCTACAAAAATTTTTTTGCGCTGATTTTTTTAGGGGGCTCTCAAAACATGAATAACATATTTTCACAAGATACACGAAAAAAAAACAGTTTTTTTTTGAGTCACCCTAATACATACAAATTTTGAGTTTTTTTGTGAGGCATGGCCACTGTATGACATTGAAAGTTCGAGACTATTTTTTCTAGAAAGGAAAAAACATCCCTATATATGCGCCGCCGCGTCGTATTTATTTTAACTTGGCGATTGTATATTAATTTTAAAATTAATAATAAAAACATTAAAAAAAACCTCGAATGTAGAGGTTAATTTTTTTTCTTAAAGAGGCGTTTTCTACACATTTATTTTAAGTATAGAGTAATTTACACTTACTTCTTATTCTTATTAGCTTACTTTTTATGTTTGTTCTGCAATTTAAGTTTCCCATGAAAATTTTAAATACAGGATGTTGGGAAAGTGTAAAGTTTCTAATTAGTTAAACAGATTCAAACGTGCAGACTACATTTTTTTTCAGATACTCGTACATATGGATATAGGTATGTATATGCCAGAAATTTGAAAAAATTACTTCTGTTTTATCAAAAATTATATTTATTTGATTAACTGCAGGTAAAATACCTAAAGCAGGTTTGGTTGTACCGCAGGCATATTTTATCACAAAGTACAAAGCGGTTTGTTTTATTTGCAATCACATGTAATCTATAAGATATTGCACCAGTTTTTGTTGACTAACTGTTGCCCTCTATTATTTAAAACAACAACGTATGCAAATTCCGACCATGGGAAATGCGAAACCCGTATATACCCCACTTTTAATCATTACAAAAATAAAGAATAGGTCGCACAAAATAAAATTTGTTATTACGCAACGTAGGTAAAATAGGAAAGAAATAAATAATAGCTTCCTGTGATTATTTGCAATAAGCGACATAGTAGATATAAAAACAAATAATGAATGGTGTGCAACTAATTGATTCATAAATATAATATTTCTTACATTATGGAGAGGTTCCGCCAAAAGAGCGAATTCACACAAAACTCGTGAAATCCAAATCACAACTGAGAGAGACCTTTTTCGGCCGCAAATTCGCGTCTGTCGTTACAAGTGGTTGCCCATGTATCGAGGATTTACCGTATTATGCGGTATAACGCCGAACACCATTGCAAGTGAGCCGCTTACAATTTTTATACGGCATTGTTATTTTCATGGAATAAGCGGAAATCGATAGAACGTTAATGAGGAAAAAATATACTGCCACGATCGGTTCTCTAATGGCTTTTTGTTCTTATAAATTAAATACCTAGTCAAAACTCGGATAAGGTAAGGTTATATTGCTGAACCGCATTATATACCGCAGTTGAATTTTCTGCTGTAGGATGGTTTAATGCGAATATTGATGCGTCATATTGTTAGCGGGAACAGCATAGGCGCGCTTGAGAACTAAAAGTAGGTTGAATAAGGAGGCAAAGTAGAAATACAAAATTCTCGTCAAAGTAAATATATGGGAATTTCATTGGAATATGTCTTAATAAATAAGGACCTCAACATGTTTAGACGAGGAATTTTTCTCGGCACTAATGTTCAGAGTGAAGTTTGTTAAAGTTTATCTGGAAAGTATTATTGTGCATGTGTAATATAAAAGCAGCATAAGGTAATTGAATAAGGATAGGATAATGGCATATTCCCACTAGTATATTCCAATACCAATTGGAATTGATGAGTCATTATCGACACCAAGAAATAATATTTTTTTTCTCTATAACCCTAGCAATGATTAGGCATTTGAAAATTAATATACAGTTCAGCGTGCAATATACATGCCGAAGCAAAGTAGGAACAGATTGTACTTTAGAATATATATCAATGTTTTTCATTTTCCCTATTAGAGTATAAAAATAAAGTACATGTTATGAAATTCTATTCATCTTACAATTCTCATATGGTCAATCATTCTGTTGGAGTTAGGTGTGCAGCTTATGTAGCATTAGAGAAAAGTCTTCACTATTGCAACAACCATATGTTACAATTTCGAGCCTTATACACGCCGTCATGTTGCAGATTTCTCTGAATGTTACGTACATTTGTAAACTGGTTCATTATAAATCATACCCCTCTATCTCTCTCTTTAAAGACATCTCATTTTTCTTTCACACAATAAGTCTAGTTGATCAATGTTAAAAAAAACTAATTTCTTCATTCAGTTATAAAATAAGTATCCAAGTGTTTATTAAAATTTGTTAAAAACCACGCTGTAGAAAAAAAAATCAATCAAAAAGTTTTGTACGAAAAAAATAATACAATAACTTTTGAAGACGAAAGTAAAAAACCACGGCCATGGACGTGTAACTTTTAACCTCTTATCATCAGTTAGTACCTTTAAATTCGTGTTATCTCACAATTAATGCAATAAGATAGTAGAATGATGGAATAACCGTATACGATCTATAAATAGGACAACCTTGCCTTCATGTATATGCTTTGTATAAATGCATAACAGGTAATACCGTAATTAAACTGTTTTACTTAAATTAATTGACACGTCATATTATTATTATACATACACAGGGTTTCCCACGTAAGACGGATTCTCCCATAGCTCTGGTAATATCAATAATACAAAAAAAGATTGCACTAAATTAGTTTTTTCACATTTTGAAATTATATTAGATTATACAGGAAGTTCAATTTCTTCTAGGCATTACACATAACTAAATTTTTTGAAATACATATAATATTCTAATTCTATATTATGTATTTCAATTCTATTCAGTTCTTTTTGTAATTTTAGAAAAATTCGAGCTGGTTTACATTTTTTGTTGTTATTTCCACTTTAAAAAATGTATCTTGTTTAATTTCGGACATGTTTGGGTTTGACGTTTTTGAGGTTGCTGCAGATCTATTTTTTGCCATCGAATGGCAACCAAAAGGCACGACCTATATAGGCCCAATATTTGTTTATCAATGTAATTCTAAAATTGAAAGAAGAATTTGAAAAAGATAAGAGGGGCAAAGGCAAAAGATCTGAATAAATGAGACATCCTGTATAACCAAAATAATTTCTCCTTTGATGGAGCTTATAAACCAACAATAGCAAAAATGGAATACAAAATATTGCCGTTACATAGATTAAATGCCGTGCTTTTGTTATTGATTTTATTCCATACTTTACAATGATTAAAAAGAAAATTTTACTAAGTTTTCCAAGCATTTGTTTGTTTTTTTACCAATGAATGATGTAATGTTTATTTTCGAGTACCTATCAAAAGATCATCGTTAGTCAAAATTGTAGCCTTCACACTACAACAAAATTAGTAATACACCTACACCCACTTGATCTATAAGACAACAAATTTGTAATACTTAAATAATTCAACGAATTAGGTTACATTACATGCCTTATTCAAAAATTACCAACGAATTGGCCACACAAACGTGTCGTCGGTCGTCGGTAATTTACCGGAACATGTGATCAGTCACATTTGGTCATTTATTGATAATTTTCATATTTCAAAAGTTATGTTTCTTAGAATTGATTTTCTGATATGGTTATTGTACATTTCAAAGCAGTTTTTATGTTTTTTATAACATAAGAACTGCCTTCTCATTCTTCTCATACCAGTTAGAGAAATAACAAATAACATATGTTATTTGTAAAATTTTAAAGTAACCACATGAAATGTTATCTTATTTGATCATATTTAACAAAGAAAAATAATTATTGACAACTATAAATAATGATTTTAATGGAATTATTGAAACAGAGGTAAAAATTTGTCAATGGAATTTGGAAAGTAAATAATTAAGCCATTTTTAAATTTTATAATTAGTAAAAAGTACAAAAATAAATCAATTATAAAATATTTTTAAAATATACATATATTTCTTCATTCTTCATACTTTAATTTAGCCAACATAGAGTTGAAGTTTTATATGTCAATAGAAGACCATACTATTTAATTAGACACATTTCATTATTAGTTACAGACAAAAATAATTTCTTTAATTTTAGTATAAACATCCTATAATTTGCAAATAAAATACCTCTGGACTGATTGTGAGGTATATTTGGCCAAACATAATATTTTGTTGCTTCGACGAAATATTTTTGTCCCTTCCCATAAATATACTCTGCATAGAGGCCATAGAGGATCATTCTCTTACAAAAATAACGAAAATATTAATTAGTAAATATTTGTAACTGTTCCAAGAGATAAAATTCACAAGGAGCATGTTACGTTTTAACACCTATACTTTCTCATCGTCAGTTAGGCAACACTCCACACACTTCGTGGATGGTACGGTTTTGTTATGTTTCCGTTAATTGTTACATAAAGTTTTTTTAAGATACGAGTGCAACATTTATGTCATAAACATGAAATGTAGCTATTTATTATTTAAATAAACAATTTAAAATTAAAAATTATTTACATCAACTTGTGCTATGACTATGATGAGGCAATCTGGGAGAAAAAGAAATGATATATGTAATATTACATAAATTTTAATAAAGGATACTTGAATTATGACAGACCTATCACATCTTTTTTAAAAGCTGTCGTTTAAAAGCTATAAACGATATATAGTATGTATAAAATGTATATTTTGTTGCCTAATCTACAAAGTTAAGGCATAACCACTTACCGTAACTGTTGTTCATTACCTGAGAAAGACTGAATATTGAATATTTCTCTTCCATATTTAAGAATACATATTTTCTTATTGCTCTTGAAACCCTCCTTTTTGAGATATAAAAATCATTTAAGTCCTTTTGTGAATATATTATTTTTATAAACTCCTAATTTGCAGCAATCTGATAAAAGTTATATAACAAATTCGAAATCATTATCATCCAAAATAAAATTAGCATTTAAAAAATGTCAAAAAAGTATTAAAAAAAATGTAATCAGTATACTTATATGTACAATCATTGGTTGAGTTAAGATGTAATTTTTTCACACTGAATATATTTTTATTCATGTATGTATTGCATATTGGCTAATACCAAAGGGCTTTTTGTTACCAAGAGTTCCAAGGTCAAACATTTTTCAGGATATTCAGTTACTAATCTGCCATAGATCATCAGAAGATTCTATGATGAAAATTAAGGGAGTTATGAAGTTTAAAAACTTAAAACAATTTTTTGACATAATTAGGCAGTTTTTTCTAATATATTCTCTAATATATTTAATAATAATCTATTTTTTTCTAAATATAAAAAACCAGCGACGCGCAAACCCGAAAATTAAGTTTGTGCTTTCTCTGTCCACATAAAATTGTACCTGACGATGTATGTCCGCGTTAGTACTCTTCACGTCAAACTGGAAAAAAATTGCTTATCGAATTTCCCGACTATAATATAGTTTTAATTAATTCAACTTCAAAACCCTACATTTTGGAAACGAAGAAGAATATTTCGACAAAATTTTATTTGAATGATTTCTTATTTGATTAGTAACCAACACTTTGCATAAGAAAATATTCTTGAACATGCTTTCTCGTTTTTAAAACGCCGTTGTACATACATCCTGTGCATCGAGTTGTGATATACAAAATAGCCAACACATGCCGGTCGCTGCATTTGAATCCTATTCCTATTCCAGGCGCGGTCTGTTGCGTTAACTATTTAGTCTGTGGTGTTACTGATAGGATAAATATTAGCATGTAACAGGAAAGGATAGTTTATGATTGTTTACCTGCTATTATTTACATTTCACGGTTTATGAATTAAAACATATATAAGAGAACCAAAAAATGTCACATTATAAATGTTATTCAACTTTACATTAAACAAATATAAGTTAGTCAACAATGGTTGGCTCGTGAAAGTTAGTGTCGGTTAAATCTTATGAATACGAGTACATTTTACTAGTACCTAGATATTTACTATAATTTATATCAACATGATAAACATTTCATGAGCCGGCCTTTTTGCTAAATGATAATAATTAGTAAAAAAAAAAACAAAAAATGAACATACCCATGCTTAAAATTCGGTGTTGGAAAATTGTTTGCCTTAGTGTACAAATTTAAAAATGATTTTGTTGAAAACCTATAAACAAAAAGAAACAAAACTAAAACACATCAACCTACATGAAACAAATTATGATAATGAACAACACACATACATATAAAAAATAATTGCAAGTCTCAATCTGATTTGTCAATATCAAATTAGTTACAAGACATTTTAAAGCTGTCCCTCTTCAAAATAATTAAGTAATGCATAAATTCGATAAAAGGTTCGACTATTTCTTTTAGGAAAAGTACTTTAAACACATCAGTTTTTATTTATAATTGTCCAGAGTGACTCTTGTAAAAGTTATAGCATCATCGGTGAGAACAGTCGTTTTCGTACCATTTTCGTCGTCTTAAAAGAGCTCTTAGCAAGCTTATATAATGGACTCTTTTCTTCAGAAACTTTTTGATGAAAAAACACGGACATTTAGTTAGTCCACTCATACTCAATTCGTATTCAGCTGCAATATAAAAAGTCGAGTTCAAAAATTAATGAACTTGAGGTTACATCTCTGCCAAAAGTAATATAATATGGGCCAAACGCAAGACAGACATTAAATTATAAGTTTTTTTAGATCAGTGTTTTGCACCGACGACGACGATTCTGTAATTTGCTATGTCCATAATCCTCCCCCAAGAGTAAATAAATACATAAGCAAAAAACTCTGTAAGTGCTACTTCTCTACTCAAAATATTCGTAAATACTGAATGGATCGTAACATAAGCGATAGTAGTTGCTCATCTTATTCACGAGATGCGCAGTCCGTAGTAGAAGTTCAAACAAAGAATGAGCTCCGGTGCTTGTCTGGTAACGTCACTAATTCACGGGCAAGATAAATTTGGTCAAGTTACACACGTCACATTGACATTATATTACCCCCGTTTAGACCCGCCTTTACATTAATCTTGTCTGGACCCAGATTTAGATTCTTTTATTTCTTATTACCGAAATATAAGTAGTTGGGTCATGCGGACCGCTTTTACGTTCATAATTTAAACTTGACTCGCGTTGGATGCTGGTCACTTTTGTCCCTCAATCAGTACCTAATTCGTCTCAATCGGTTCATCCAATCGAAGGTTTTAAGCAGAAAAATGGTTTCATGTTTGTGCATGTTCATCTCATTTTCTGGGACGAACGATTTTATAGATGTGTCCACTTCAAAAATTACCTTGTTTTTTATTGAACTTGTGCGTTACTTTACTAACATTTTTATGATTTATAATCAAGATAGAGGCATCCTACTTTTTGTTTTTAGTATCATGGAAAAGACCACTGAATTTAATTATCTACGTTAAGTTGTTCTTTATAATAAGATCATAGTAACTTTCTAATTAACTGTAATATATTTGCAGTTTGCACAAATTATTTCTGGATCTCATGTTTCATAGGAATTCTGTAAAAGATAGAGATGAAGCTCATCAAACAACAATTTAAAAGTTTTGAAAAAAAATGGTACACTTTTTAAATGACTATGACAAATCAACTGAGACTTTGTTGGAATAACTTAACTAAGTTAGCACACCGGCATTAGTATGATACAAAAAAGGTAAAAACCACTTACTTGGATTGCATGCCACTCTGCGTCACCATACTACTTTGGTTGAAATCCCCCGTGGAACTCCACCTTTTATGCAGAGAGTTATTAACCACTGGACAGGGCGAGTTACTTGTGGGCTGTTTCTTCCCATTCAAGGGCAAAGGAGTCGCCCTTGGCGAGGGGGACGGAATCGGGCTAACGCTGCTTGAACTCTGACTATCGCTATGCAGACTTCCCGTAGACTGATAATGAACAGCTCTCCTTTGCGGTAGAGAAGACCCAGTGAATATCCTCCTCTGGGAGTCCATTTTAGAGGAGGAATAGCTGATTGGTCGTTGCCTTAATGAGTCTTTGGCAGTACCGTTGATTCGTATGGGTGTACTAGGGCTGGAGGGTATATTGTTGGACAGCCTCATACCCTCCAGGACGTTGAGACGACGCAAGGCTTCTGCTAGGGTTGCTTTGAGGCACACCAGTTCGTCCCCCTGTTCCAGCACCTTGCGTTCCAAGTCGGCCACCCTCCCGGCAACTCCACGGCTCTCTGCTTCAAGCATCTCATCTGTAAAAAACGAGAATATAAAGTCTCGCTTCGATGACACTTCTTAGTAATCATAAGCAGTTTACTGCGTCTACTTCTTCATGAAATCTGTACTCATCATTGTCAACCTATAAGAAGTCCGGAAGTAAATATTCTTTTTAATAATCTTCAGTTGTTGCATTAAGGGAATATTTCCATTAGGAGATAGAGTATTTTACATTGTAATGCCCAAAGAAATTTAATTTTTAATTTTATGATGACTTAGAGGCAATCAGTTCTTGGAGAGATATCAGTTCCATGGGAAAACATTCATTAGTTGCAAATTTTCATACGAAATACTGAATACTAATTAAGTTATTACAATTGTATTTTTTTTTTACAAAAATGTAGGTACTTGCTTTTGACAAATCTGGGTAATAGTGATTGCTTCAGTGACATCAGAATGACCTTGTATTTATATCACGAAGAATTTTGCATGGTAGGAACATGAATTTTAAAAAAATGAGGATGAACGATGACAACTTAACCTAAACAGGCTGACATATGTTAAATTAAGTTCACAGCATGTAAGATCGTGTGACCTATATTAGTTTCATCCTAGAAATGTGTTTTTTATCGCAAAGAAACAAATTAATCAGATTATGCATATGAAACATGAACATGGAATTATTATTATTTGAAAGTGAGGAAAACATAAATGTTTTAAAAAATATAAGGTCATTCTAGAGGATCTAATATTTTTTTTTGATATCGATGTCTTTATGGTAGGTACATATTTCAATTAGCTTTGCAATTTTTCAATATACGACGAATTTTAGAGAAAAGCAAACAAAATACTCACTATATACACTCATTAAATGCATGTTTTGGATTGCTGTTTTATATAGACTCATTTTTAACCACAAATATGTTGGAAGGATTAGAAAAAATATACCACAAGGTAGTAATTTTCAAGTCACCGACATTTTTTGAAATTTCAAATCACCAGCTTGCACGGTACTATTTTTAAGTAATGGCGAAATTAATCGACGTAAATATGTATAACCGCTTAGATATTAAGGTCATGAACTATATAAGAATATATTAAATATTGTCCATATTTTAATAATAAGTAAAGTATTTATGGTCACATAAGTATCTGCCTCAAAATTAAGTGAACTAATTACGTGAAAAATAATTTTTGCAATTAAATTTTTGACTAACTAGTGTAATCACGTTTAAAGTAGTACAAATACATGTTCTTTAGCATGATAATCGCAAGACTACATTTTAATAATACAGCAAAATACAACCCCCACCCTAAATTTTTATTTTCAAAATTCTCAATTAATTTACACGTACATTATATTTTTAAATGTTAATAAGTCAAGTTTACTAAATCTATTAATAAAATTCGTCGTGTCAGTTTATTATAAACAAACCTGTTATTATACACAGATACAGGTAACGGAAGAAGCTTCATTTTAAAGTTATTGAAATGACATCACGCCGCAACGCTGATTGCATAATAATTCTATAGAATATAAATAAATGGTCAGTCAGAACATTTCTGAATGTATAGGACACAGCTGCGGACTTTTTATTGATTCTCTTTCCTTTAGATGTCATGTCCTACAGAACTTAATTTCTACGCAATAAATGTAATAGGTAGGTATCAAACTTTTCATTGTAACAGTTATTCAGAAACGTTTTTTCTTATTTTCAAAGTAGAATCTAGTGGTCAAATTTGGCGTGATGAAAAATATGTACTAGATTTATTTTTATAAAATAAGAATTTAACAATTTGAACATGAATGTAGAAAGATGTTACTAGCAGCAGTTTTAAGTAATTTAATTACAATCGATCATAGCGACTTATACAAATTTTAACATTTAAAAGTGCGTATTGCCTTATTCCGCAATATTGTCATGGTCGGGTCATTCAATATGCGGGTGACACTATCCTAATTTCTCTACATAAAAAATATTCAGGGACATCGCATTATTTTGAAATATAATGCTCAAATCTGAACAGCTTCAATGACATCATCCATATGTTGATTCGATGAACATGAATGTTAAGACTTCTATTACCATGCCATAACAAATAGTATAAAATTACAAAAGGTCACTATATAGGATGTATAAAGATGAATTGGAGTTGATTGTATGACGTTACATTCAAATTCTTACAAGAGAATCTTCTCTGGCTACAACATCATTAATTCCAATATATCCTAATTAATGAAAAAGATTCAGATAAAATAGATAATTATATGTCTTTATTTCAGATTATTATGGATCACTACGTCTATATAGTTATTTTTTAACATATGTACCTACATACTTGGCGACAAAGAGTATTCCAGTAAATAAAAATTATGAACTTTTGTAATCATTTATTTATGTGAAAGAATTTCAAAATTAATTTAGTTGCAGCAAGTAGTACCACACTATCAATAAGAATATATAAAAATATAAGAGGAAAAGATAAATTTGTAAAAGAAAATACTTACGCCAGGCATTGTAAGTATCCGTAAAGTTGGGGCTCTCGAAATCGTTGGCACTTTTGTTGTTAAAAGACAGCTCGTCCGATCTCGAAAGATCATCTGCACTATCACTCATTTTCAATGCAACTTTAATGCATACCGTAATTGAAAATTAGTAATTAAAACACACTTTTCCAGAACATACAAACATTCATTCAAGCAAGCTAAATGTTGTCCACTTGGGAGTTCCGCATATATCAGTAACTCACAAATTCACACTGTAATTATTAATTATACCAGCTTAATTTAAAATGAAATCGAACTGCATCATAAAAACAGTTTACAAGCAAGTGCGGAGAGCCTGTTCAAATGTTTGTTAATGAGATTAAGTTTTATGGTATGTAAATATTCCACTTGGTAAATATAATACTATCAGAATGAACTTCCTACATCGCATGCATTAAAATTGAACAGCACATTACGTTTTATTCTGTCAGTAAAAATAAGTACTGTTTGATTCTTAGATTGGTACAGGGACACTCGGTCATAATTTTAATAAAATATCTATGTATATTTCCATCATTTCTTTAAACAGAATTGACCAAAACAATCAACACATATTTATTTATTTACTTCTCAAGTAGTACATTGGATATTCGTATATTTTTATTAAATTGTGTTTATCTTTAAAAAAAGTCAAAGAAACACCATGGAACGTATAGCTGAAGGAAAACTTTATATAGGTATATTACTAGGGTTGTGATTTATTCTGTGCTTTACTTAATTAACATTTTGTAATCAATTTCATAGTAAGTCTAATTTTTCTATGAAATTGCAACTAAAAAGGAAACACCCTCAACTTTATGTAGAAAGAATGTGCTTCCTTGATCTTTTATCGAGAAAGATAATTTATTCTACTAGGTGTGACGTGAAGATACATACTTATTATGCGCGGCATCCATTTATTTGCAAGTAAATTAACATCCTCTTCCTGTAGAGTGTAGATCAAACGTGTCTTGTACGAAAATTTATCACCTACATTCGCATTAGAAAAGAAATCTTAAAAATCAAGGCAACTGGATTAAATAGTAGTCTGTAATTGATTTTTAATTGAAATAAGTACCTTATACGCCAGAATATATTTTTATCTGCCCCCACTATAGTAAATAGTTTTTGAGGAGGCAAGTGAATTTTACCGTAGAAGTGAAAGTTGCTATGGACAACGAGAGGCTTACCTCTCGTTGTCCATAGGTAAGGTGAGGTACTGAAAGAAGCGATTTCGAGTTATAAATGTATATTTTATGAACAAATAAATAGAAATATTTGATGAAATTATATTTTATTAATTAATACGAATGAATATTTATAGTAATTGTACAGTTATTACATTTAGTACCATTTATAAAATCTGGATAATTATTACCCTAATTGTCACATTTTTCTCAAAATGATTAGACCGCTCTATTTCAATCACCGGAGGCTCAATATTATCTGACAGATCCATTAAAACAGCATGATGCGACGTTCTACTAGAACCTGGAATTGAAGTGTCATTGTAAAGAATCCTATTGGCTATTTCATTTTTGTTACTTAAACTGTCAGCAACACAACTTTCCGCAATTGTGGCTGATTTCCACCCACCATGTCTCTTGATTGCTAATACATCAACTTCTGTATTAGCCAGTAACGTTGCCGATGTTCTTCGGAATGAATGGCCTGTATATGTTTCAGGATGTTCTAGTTTCAAAAACCGTGCAATCTTATGAGGAATCATAAAAAGGGTATTCTTGCCGACTGGTTGGTTGTAATATCTATCTGCTTGATAGCGCATAAAAAAGCGTGAAATTTCAGTTTTAATTTTCAATCTAATCTTGATATATCTCTTGAGTGCTCCTAAAAACAAGAGACACTATCGATATTTTCAGTTGCCTGGTAAATCTTTTCTTTCAGAGAAAATAACTCGAAATCGGTTTGTTTTCCGAGTAAAATGAAAGAGACTTTTTCTCTGTACAATTAGGAATCGAAGTCAACGATAGAATTCCCCAAATTGTTGTATCAAACTCCTGAGATTGACATAACTCAATACAAATTCTGTAATTTTATATTTATTTAAGTCACCAGTTCAAGTTTTATCAGTCTGCGTCAAACATCTTCATATTTAGGTAAGCGTTTTGTTTTCCAAAAAATTTCATATTCTGTACTTAGAAATACAAGCGGTTTAGGACTTAGGTTCACACGAACTTTTATACTTAAAATATTTTAACAATCACCTCCGGAACTATTTTTACGTAGGTACTTAAGTTATCCATTACCTACTTTACTGAAAACAATAATTATTTAAGGAGAAGCGAGTTGAAAAAGCGTTTTTAATATAATGAACCATCTTGTAGAAGTCCGGGCAAGAAAACTAATTAATAACGTGCCTGGTCATCCGGACAATTAATTTGCATTTAGTCACAATGTTTTTCTCTACCAGCAAGAGAATACCTTATAAGAACCGTAGATGAAAGAAACAAGGCGCAAATATCTTTATTGACATTTTGCACTGAAGCCAATAAGTAAATATTTGCTAAAACTAGGGAAAACTACTTGTGTTATATAAATGAGACAGTGACAAAAGATTTACAATAACAAACGCCAATATCTAATAGATATTTATAAGTTTTATTACTTAATCACTACTGTATAAATAAACAATGCACCTGTTATTTACAGCACGTCTGTTTAACAAACGAACATTGCGCTTTTTGTTTTTCAAACACTTAAGTGTTAAATTGTGTTATATAAACAAGAGGTAAAGTAAAACATAAAATTTACTATGCATTTCTTTGTTAGAACTATCCTGTACGTTTGAAAACGTGCTTGTGTTTGTTTACATCAGTTTCTTCCTCTTTCAAATAGTGGTACGGGAAGCAATAATGACTTAACAGCGGATGTAATAAAACTTCCTCTGCGTCATTAATTTTTTATTATAATGCCTTTGTGGCCCTTCACAAAATATCTTTTCAAATATACAAAGTGACATTTCGTTGTTATTTTTGTTCATTCAATGAAATATAACTTATGTATAATTCTAAATGGACAAGAGCAGCAACTACTTGTAAGTAGATTCTTAAAGAAGTAACAGATATTTAATACTTAATTAATTCAGAAATTTCGTGGAAAATAAAATTTTGCAATAACGAGGTCAAATTTCAAAGGTAAGCATATAAAGCAAATTGTATAATGATATAGATTGCGTATCTATTTTACAGAATCCAATCCAAAAAACATAAATTGTTTTTTTAAGTTTTACTTGAAAATCAGGCTTTTTTCGAAAAACATAAGAGAGTAGTAATTTGTAGAAAATTGAAAGAAGAATCCGAAATTATCATGGTTGTTACCGTAAAGTAGCGTACTATTTTATTTAGAAAACTTTGGACTGGAGTAAATATTAGGAAAAGCCCTCAGAATTTGGATAATGTTTACGTAAATACATGTGTTCAATTTCAAATTATTTCACTTCCTAGTTTTTAAATTATTTAAAAAAATTAAAAATATTTTTAAATTTTTTTAAATAATAAATAAATAAATAAATAATAATCTTTTTTGATTTTAACATCCTGTATCTTTTTAACGAAGTGTCCTAGATAAAAACTTTATAGGAAAAACTCCCCTTAAAACTTGAAACGAGGTTTCATTTTTGGCCACCATTTGTGAATCACCATGTATATGTATTAGTTGTAAGAAAAATCTTAAGATAAATTATAAAAATAAAATACATAATAATGCAAGCTATTTTTGCAGCTAATTTAAAAGATAGATCAGACACATACAAACACAAAGGTATTAAATAAAAAACCAATTAACGTAAGTAATCGACTTTCTTAGGAAAAGGTCAACACTATTTTTAGGAAATGGTGGATATCGAAAAAAAGTAATAATCGTTATTTCAAAAGTGAATTGGGTCTCGACCCAATGAATTCGTTGCCCACATAATTGTGTGAAAAATTTTTGTTCCTATCCATATAATTAATGTGTAATATTTATTGAAAGATCAAAATTTGGATCTATTCTTAGTAATTGAAATTTGAAACATACTTGTTTATCGTTTGTAAAAAATTAAAACATGAATGTTGTTTTATACTTCACAAATAACACAATAGGTGATTTAGATTACTTTATTTTCAAAATTATTGGTTTTTGGAAAATGCCTCTAAATCAAATTCGACTAAATAAAATCGTTGAAAGATTGTTCGAATTGGAATATTAAATGAAACACATAAATTGTGTTTCTTAACGAATTGGCCAAAAAGTTGAAAAAATTAAATAGAATTGGTTCTCATTTGTTGGCTTGTGGATTGTGAATTTTTAGTAATTTTTAATTTCAATAGTAGTACCTTCTAGAACTCTAAATATTTAAAAAATATATTACAGATACGTATTTATTGTTCTGTCATCACTGTTTTTTATTTTAAAAGTTGATTCAATCTTCCGAAACAATCAAAGATATGACACAGATACAGCAAATTCTGATAATTTCTATATGTATAAATTTTTGAACAAATTATTGGGTTAAAAACGTTTTTAACAGAAACATTTCATCAATATTTATTAGAATATTCTGTTTGTTCCTATAAATAGCTGAAAAATTGTATTGAAAAGTACGAAAACAGGCGTTAAAGTATTATAGGAATTTAGAAAATCTTGGCAAATACATATTACTTAAATTCATTACAAAAATAAAGAAAACTGATTCAGAATAGATACTTACGCACTTCAATCTGTTTATTTCAAAAACATTTTTCATTTAAGAATAGAATAAAATGAGTTTTTAAAACTAAGCCATCCAAATGTAATTGTAATGAATTTTAATGAAGTTATCTATAGCAAATTTATTTCATAGTATTAATAAATTACTATCGTGTTTTTAATTTTAAATTGGTTTCTGTGTTTTTTCTAATTGCATTTGATATCTTAATGTTTAATACTATCTGCGAGACAGTTATTTTTTAATACCTAAGTAATATCTATTAATTTTTATTTGGCACCACATTTAGCTTTTGCTAGGCACACTTTCAATTGTTTATGTTTCTGTATTCATTATAGGGGCAATAAGGAATTACTCCAACAGACACATAACATTTAGCGATTCATTAAATGCTTAC